TTCAAATATTTCCAGGCATTTTTAAACACAGAATTTATATTTGTACTTTGTAATGCTGGAATAAAATGAAACTTGTGTTGCGGGGACTGCTAGCACGATTGAAGCTAGCTGGTGTGACTCAGGTTTTTCAGTTTTTTTGCCTCACAATAGATAAGCCATTGGGAAGTATCTTCCTGAAATTTTTTAACCTTATCATATGAATTAATTAGGGAATATCTAGTGTTGTTAAATGGCTCAAAAAACGGCTAACTCAATATTTTATTAAGAAAAATATTATGCAAGCCTTATGATTTTGCTTATAGATGGCACAAAGGTTTGAACAACTATTAACGAAATCCCGAAGCTTAGAACAATATTTTTCTGGCTAAAATATTGAGTTAGCCGTTTTTAAAAATAGGCTTAAATCGAGCCGTTTAACAACACTAAACTTATCATTCTATTGTAATTTTCAATTTCAAGCCCCACATCACATCTTGAGAATTTATGTGAGAAAGAAATAATTTACTCCATTTCATCATCTTAATTTATTTGATTTAGACTTTCGCATAGTAGGCCAGTAATTTCATCAACCTACTATGAAGCTTGAATATTTTACCACGTCCGGCTCAAATAAATTTGGGCCCAAAAAGTACTTGATATCCAGGATTAAGATATAATGCGGAACGAAATGCTTCATTTTGTATATCAATTTCTTTTGCTTCATTGCAAGAAGCATGACTTAAAAAATAAAGTGTAAGTTATCAAGTATTATGGTCTAAGTTTATAATTTATATATATATACATAAAGGTTCGATCCATAAAATTATGGGTCGGTTCGTTCCCGGTTTCTGATTAATTTAAATGAATCGACACTCTAAATAGTATTATATGTCATTGGGACGTAACTAAGCACAAAAAGTTTTATTCTAAATATAAAATTTATTAAGCGATTTGGTATAAAGGTTCAATAAGGAAAATTATAAAGGTTCATTCCGATATAATGGTTCAGTTCGTTATGGGCCCCTGATATTTTGGGGTTTAAGCGTGTGGTGGCTTTATTATTCTTAGTTTTTTTTTCTCTTTCTTACTTTTTAGGCTGTTTAGAAATTAGTCGAACTAGGACACACCCCTGTATATTTAATACTTATTGTCGTTAATTTATTTTATTAATAAATATTTATAAAAAATTTTTTATAGTCATGGTGGTTGAACAAAACACTTAATGGGGTCATAATAAACTTATAAATTATTATTATATAATAGTTTTATTATATTTTTTTTCAAATATAAATTTAAATACTAGAAAATTTTTTAAAATGTTATCATTAAAATTGTCATTTAAAAAATATATAGTTTAAATATTGTGGTTATAAATAAATAATATTGGAATTAATGGAGATAGTGTATTTTTTAGTACTAAAATTAAAACTTTACATATTTTATTATTTAAAGTTCAATTAACCTTTCTTTTTCAACACTTCAATAAATATGTAAAATAAAAAAAGATACAAGAATTACAAAAGTGAAAATTCATAACGCTAGTGTAAAATATGTTGTAAATAAATAAATAAAGGAAAGGTAAAAACACCTTCGGGAGAAATAATTCTTATTGAATCCAGCAATATAAAAAAATTACAAATAATAGGCGCATTTCTTATATTTGACGCATAAAAATGATAATGAAAAGTTTATTAGTTTATTTTATTTTTTTATTTAAATTTATTTAAAATTATTTTAAAAAATATCGAATATTTATCATTATTGTTTTGTAAATACAGTTTTATTTTATATTAAAAAACTATTATTATGTTGAGATAAATAAATTATTAAAATAGCTATATAAAATAAAAAGGACAAAACATAAAGTCATAATTTTTTAATATTTAAAAAAAAAATTTTTTTACAGGTAAAAAAAATAATAAAATTTTTTAAAAGAAGATTCTATACTATTCCTGACACAAGATACAAAATAATATTTAAAAAGGTAATAAAAAAAAATGAAAATAAATTTCTTATGTTTTTTTTGTCACTTCTATTCATGCAATTTTATTTATAATTTTTTTCATAAGAAATCAGGACAGGGGTCGAAAAATCTCAACTAAATCAATAAATATTTATTCTGAAATTTTTTTTTGTCTCCCTATTTATAGTTCTAATATTATATCGAAATAAAAATTATCTTTTTTTTTTTAAATTTATTTCTATTTAGTCCTGACTGAACAGATTTTAAACTATTGGTTTGTTTTAATTAAGTATGTATACATTAAATAAATATTATTTGTTATTTATATATTTTTTCGGCACAAAGAATGTTATATTTTTATCTAGGTGCTTTTGTTTATTTACTGTTTAAATAGCATCTCTCTTCATAGGCTTCTTAGAGGAAGCTATATAGACAGACATCTAAACTGTTTAGAAATAGGTGGGTAGGCATAGCAGAGTCGAGTAACAAAGAGAAAATGGGAGTTTATTTGAAGGGGGAGGGGGGAAATAAAGGTATGATAATAGATGCGGATTTAGCTAATAATAAAAATATTGAGCCTTTGTTTTAAAATTTGATTTCTTGCTCTGCTGATATGACAAACAAAGAGTAAGAGCAATAGTTGAGACTAAATGTGTAATTAAGTAAGACGGGGGAAAATGAAGTCTTAGATAGTGTTAATAAAATTGTTTCATAATTTATAAAGATTTTCACGAAAACCTTCTCAATTTACTTTTCACTTAAAACATAGCATTAATTCAGTGAGGTTGTTAGGAGAGGTTCTGGATGGCAAAGGTGATTCGCCCATAAATTTAAATATATGCGTGAAATATTTTTTTTACTGAGAAAAACATTTATCTTTCTAGCATGGATAAATTAATAAAAAAGGAATATTTTTTAGACTAAGCCTGCATCCTAGTTTTTACTATTTTTCTTCTTCCTTTTAGAATTTTAAATGGATGCTTGGAATTTTTAGACTAAATAAATAAGAATAAGTGTACATGTTTAAAGGTATCATCATTTTATTTCAAAATCGCGAATAATTATGAAACAAAAAAGTGCCCTAGCTATTTTTCTAAAGAATTTCTTATTCAGATGAACTAAAATTAAGACCAGTTCGACGCAGTCAAAATGATAATTTGGCACCAATGGCTTTAAATTTAATTTAAAAAAATTTTTTTGTAATCCACTTACTTTTTCTTTTAATTTTTATATAATTATTAACTAAGAAGGATCAACGTTTTTCTTATATATACAAAACATAAATATTTTTTTTACTATTTCAACACAAATAAAAATTTAATTATTCCTCTTTATGTACATAAAATATTTAAGTAAATTTTTATAATATATTGCAACTTTGATTAAATCATCTATTAGATTAAGTAGCGCTCCTGGGCTAGGGGGTATACCAAAATATGCCCGAAAATAATTTTTGACACACCTTTTATATTTGTCATTGACACGCCTAAATTTTCTGTTTCGGCAAGCCTATATTTTTTATTTTTGCAACCCAAAATTTTCCGTGTGCTCATATGAATATTCGCTCTTTGCCCGTTGATATAATAAAGCTATATTTACACAAAGCTATGGGTAAAGAACGACTTATTCATTGGTTTGATTAATATTTGAGTTCAGTATTGCAAATAAAATACGTGATGTTGACAAAATTTTATTAAATGGCACAACAATATATTTTATATATGAATTTTAATAAAGTATCATTCACGACTATGTGAAGTGGGCTAGTGCCGTCATTGACTAGATAAGTAATTGCAACCAGTTTTTTTAAAATATATAATATTAATTTAAAAAGTAAGATGCAAGTTGTATTAAAGAAAATAACCTGGATAAAGGTCCAAACCTTTCTGCCCTATTTAAGCCAAATCTCCAGGCTTACATAATATTATTTTGGTTAAATCTTAATCGAACCGCTTTTAAAAATTGATCCAAATCGGGTTGTTTAACAACCCAGGGAGGGTGAATTGCGTCAAAACTTTTCAAAATATCCAAAAATTAACAATAAAAAGAGAAGGTAATCTAAATTTATTTAAAATGAACCAAAGAAAAGATTTCTTTTTAAATTTAGTGAAAATAAAAATTCAAGGAATTTGAACCTACCTGTGCCCTGCTCCCTACACGGCGTTACTATTACAATCGCAATTTCTTAATATACCATTAAACATTTTTTAAAAAATTTGTCTTGCTTATTATATTACAATGCTAGTTACTCCCAACTCAACATATAGCAATTTTCTAAACAAAAGCCTAATTTGCTAAATAACGACCAATTATTTTTTATGATACGATAAGATCCATTTTATATATATATCCTGCAGAGGTACCATTTGCATGACCCGGCCCGGATTTTTAAAAAATATATAATATATATTTTTTTAATTTTTATAGCTAATAATGGTGATTTAAAATATTTGGTTTTAAAATATACTAAAAATTGTCAGGCACAGCTACCAGCCCGAGTATTTAATAAAAAAAATTTAGGCCCGGCCCCTCTGATATCTATAATAACCCGGGCGCTCCCGATCTATCATACTATGTAAGATGGAATTCTCTAACTGGCTTTAGAAAAAACAATAGATCCTTACTGGATTCAAACCCACACCCATCGGATTAGTGATCTACGTACTTACCGACTAGGTAATAGAACCTTTTCAAAAACGACAATTTTTTTGAATATACATTATAACCATATGTGGAAGTAGATCCAAAAAATATATAAAATACCGATACTTTCAAGACTGCCTTCCGTATAACTAACAACAACCCTTTTTTATAAGAGTAAATACAAATTCTTAACTTAATAATTTGTTTTCATTTCTTCATTTATAAAAAATAATGAAATATCCAATTTATTTTCTTCTTTTATGATCATTACAACAATTATTTACCTGCATAAAATGAATTTTTATTATTTTTTTTGAAGGCCATTTATAAAAAATAAAAATATAAAGAAAAAATAAAAAAAAAATTTTTTTAATCGATCTATTCTCCTTTTTTCAAAATTTATAAATTTTGTAAATCATAATTTTTACAGGTAATAAATAACCCTTATATATATATTTATTTAAAAAAATTTCAAAAGTTTAAATTTAATTTCAAGATTATATTTTTTTACCCAAAAATCATCCGGTTTGGCCAAAGGAAGGAAGAAAGGAAGGAAAAGGAACTTGTCGTAATTAGGTATGAATTAGAAAATCAGGGCTGAATTCAATTATAATAATTAGCCAGTTATTAAATGAAGGGATGATTTAGCAAACATTATCTTCTCGAATCATGGATTTCCATGGAAACCATTTACAAAATACTGATTAGATTATAAATTACTATTTTGAAAACCCGGGCAAGGTCCAAAAAAATATTATAATATCTGGGCCCAGCTTGAAAGCCAGGCATGGCCTAAAAATACTGAGTGGGGGAAGAGCAATGGTGGAAAAAGCAAACCCCTCCCCCCCCCCCCTTTTCAAGAAAATATTATAGTAAAAAGTGTGTGTTTTTTTTATTAACACTTTTATATTGACATCCAAGACAAAAATTGATTTTTATTTTTAAATGGAAAAAAACTCCTTCAAATTATTTCTTTTTATTTTTATATAAAATGAACTTTAATTATATTATTTAGAAAAAATAATTCCACCTTTTTTTAAGAAATGAGACGCTTCCCAAATGCGCTATAATAGGGTGGAATGTCCCCGTAATTGCATGTATGAGATGGAGTTGACATTCTATAGAAACTATGTCACTGGGGGGAGCAGGGGCCCGAGTTCCCTGAAGATTTGAAAGGCCCCTTAAAATTTTAAAATTTTTTCCCCCAAAAAAAGATCATTAATTAAAAAAAATATTTTGAGCCCTCTGAGATTAAAGGCTTGTGACACCCCTTCTGTCAATTATTCGTTTTGCCTAACTAAACAATCCTCAGCCCTATAAGGTATTTTATAAAAAATATGTTATATTTACTTCTATTTAAATCATATATAATTAAATTGTTTTCAAAAAAAACGTTTTCATGTTTGAATATCACATTCACATCCATAGATAACGCGAGTTTAGTATTTAACTATATAGATACAAAAAGACGCGCTTCTATATCATTGGATCTCATATGTTAACATCCATAAAAATTTATTTATCCATTTAATGTTGCAAAATACAATGCCAATACATTTATTATGTTGTAAATAGTTACAAAAAACTATAATTAAATTTTAAGTAATTCAGATCAAAAAAATAAGAAATGTTTTCACTAAATTATTTATAATTGTTTTAATGCTTCTATGTTTTTTCCATTTTTCACGATACCAATTTCATTTTCTTATTTTGCTAAATTTTCTTCTTTATTCTATCAACCAGGATTGATTTACTAAACTAAAATGCATTAATTAATCAACTATTTATCGAGAGGATTATGGAAAAATATACTGGATTAAATGTAATAATGCTCGAATAAGTGCTTTTCATTCTATTTTTAATCATAAAGTTTGGCAAAAATTTTGTTTATTGCTCATAATTTTTTTTTGTATGGTGGCTAAACTGATAAAGCACTCATGGATACTAATAAAATCTAAATTTAGACTTAAATCTTAAAATTAGTGCGCCAAATTGTTGTCAATTTTAGAAAGCTGATAGACAAAGATCCATATAAATTTACACTATGAGTCAAACCAGGCCTAGGGCCGGACAAAAAAGGGAGATGGAGTAAAGCACCTCACAAAATATTGTACCCTGTAAAAAATTTTAAGTACGCCACTCACAGTATATGACTAAAAACTTCATAAACACATACATCCGCCTTATTTGTACGCCTAACCTTATCTAGTCATTATTTATTATACATACCAATTTAAAATAATAAATTATTTATGCTTTTTTTTACTCATCAAATTATCTCATATTATTTTTTTGATAATTTGTTACAACTGAAAAAAATATTATTTTTTTATTTTCTTTAAATTATTTATTATAAATGACCTTTATTAATATTATGACATTTAAATATTTTCTTTCTTTCTTTCTTTCTTTCTTTCTTTCTTTCTTTCTTTCTTTCTTTCTTTCTTTCTTTCTTTTAGACCAATAATTCAAAAAGAAAGAGTGAAAAAAAGATAAAAAGAAAAAGAAAGGAAAGAAAGGAAAAAAAGAAAGAAAGACCGCAAAGGAGTTTTATAAAGGAAAATAAATTAGTAAATTAAAATCAAATCAAAAAAAGAAGAATTTTTAGGGGGTGGGGTAACCTTTAATCTTTCCAAATAAGCCATTAGACTAAATATGAAAGATCTCCCAGCTGTTTCTAAAGCAGGGGGGGGGGATAAGATTTTAATATCCGGGACAGGTCTTCAAAAAATTTACTAACCTAGATCTGAACCGAATAAGATACCTATGAAGGTCCTTTTTTTTTAAAATGAAATTTTTTCAATAAATGTCCAGGCCCACCCCATAATTATAGGCGGCGATAAATTAATTTATTTTTCAAATCTCGGGCGTGTTTTCCTCAACTTTAAAGCATTTAATGTCTGCGTTTTTCAAAATATTACATATTTTTTTTTCTAAAATATTATCAGTGGTTAATATTAATCTAAACTCAAGGAATAAATGTTTATTTTCAAGTAAATGATATATACCAACCAGATCCGATTTTTCACTTTAAAAAAACGCGGCAATTAAAGATTATTTTTAAACAAAACCTTCTAAACGTTGCTGTAGAAAACAGGGTGATTGGTGCTAATATTACCCTCATGCTTTTTATTTTACCAAAAAAAAACAAGAATTTTATCTTATTCAATCATTTTTTATTATTATAAAATTCTATCAACTAATTAAATTAGTATATCCGATCTTGTTTCATTCAGGGTTCTTTATAAACATACTTTTAAAAATCGATAATTTTTTGGCAATAATACCTTTTCAACGATTTTGATTAAATGATATTATTAATAGGTCAATTTACTTTTCATATAAAATAAAAATTCAATTAATAATTTTTAATCGTAAAGGATGTTATATTTTTTATAGAAGGGGATCATGAAGGGTGAGGAGAATTGATAATGTTGATAATTAATAATACAAAATATTATACAGTATATAATATCTGCTCTTATCAAGTTATAATTGAATTCATTGATTATAATCTTTATTCAAATTTTGGTAAATATTTATCATGGGCTATTAAAGAAAAATATAAGGTGTAAAATTCATTATACATATTATATTTTTAAACTTGACATTGAAATATTTATCACAATATGTATAGTAGAAATATTAATAATGAATATAAAACAATACCAAGCATTTAATTAATTTTTATATAACGTTTTCTTAGTCATGGAAAGATCGTCAGCATCTATCATTGCCTCTCAAAATAAAAATAACGATCCCTCAAATTAGTTGGATGAAATGTCATGTGCAAATTTTTCGCGATAGAAATGAATGCCCATATTTAAATTGATAGATTTAAAAAAATAAATTGTTAATTTAAATAATTAATTAAATTTATATTTAAAATAAACTATGTGTTCTCTATCATGAATTCTATTACGTCGAATCAAAATTTTCTTATCGCCACTACGGAAAATAATATCTTCAATCATGACAATCCCTATACTATATACGCCCTAAATTGTGATAAAGCTGTTGAGAAAACTCACGAAATTGATGAGAACAAAGCTCAAAATGTCTCAAATAATATAATAATTGCCGCAGAAAATGGTTGTAAGAATATTCTGAAGCCAAATTGTGGTGAGGATACCTTATTTATCGAAAATACTAATATCAAGTCAGTTAACAACGAGAAGGGTCTTGACAACAATAATAACGTAACATATCAAAATGGTAACTCCTGCGGAAGTCACGATGAAGTAAATTGTCTAATAAATTGTGTATGCATGATAGAATAATTATATAAATTTTAAGAATATGGTGTATTCAACCCTATTAAAAAAGATTGAGAACCTATTAAATGTACAGTTTTCAAATCGAAATACCCAGTCACAGATTTAAATTATTTTCACAGAATTTTAAATCGATAAAATCTAACATAATTTAAAAAATAATTTTATTTGAAACTGTAAAAACACGAATTAAAAACTGAACAAATTGATTTAAAACCTGTGAAAATAATTATTATTAAACTGTAGTCTTGTCAAATGGCTAAATTTGAGCCAATTTTTAAAAACGGCTAAATTAATATTTTGTCCAGAAAATTATTACGCAAACCTGAAAATTTTGCTCATAAATGGCACAAAGGTTTGGACATCGATTAGCCAAATCCGTGTTTTAAAAATCGTCTCAAATCGAATCGTTTAACAACTAGTAAACTGTGAAAATATGAATTAACTGAACAAATTAATTTAAAATTGTGAAACTAATTATTTAAAACTGTGAATTACGTTTATTCCCTATTAAGTTAGCCTGATTAATATTTCTATTTTGGCACCTATTTTTTTTAGTTTTTAGGTTTCGTATATTTCTCGGAAAGGCGTAAATTTAATTTATTATATTAAATAAATTTTGCAATTTTGTTAGATTTTGTATTACTGGCTCGCGGGCCTGACTGGGCGAAAAATTATAACAGGCTGGACAATTTATACATTTTAATGGGTCGGGCAATTTATAGATAAAATTCAAATGGAAAACGTTAATAGGCCAGTAAGGGCATTAAAATATTTTTTTTAATTATTTTCAAGCTAATATTTTGATTTTAATTAATAATATTTAAAAATAAATTGAAATGTTCTTATTTTTTTCGTATTTTAAGAGCCACCTAATTAAAACACTCACTACATCTCTAAATAATATAGTAGATTCACAAAAAATTAAAAAGTTATTTGGATATGAACTAATTAAAAATGCACAATTCAGATATTAAACTCAATTATAGATGACCATGGAAGACATTGCGTAAAAATTTAGATATTAAAAATGTGTTAACAGGAAATTTCGCACAAAAATATTTACCGGGCCGAGGTGGACATAAATATTGATATGTCGGGTCGGACCTAATTTTGAAATTTTAACAGGCGGAGAGCAACTTATGCAAAAATTCTTAACAGGCCGCCGCTAACAAACCTCTGATATTTGAGCTCATATATTAAAAAATAATTGATTATTTAAATTTGTTAAATTCTTTGAATTTAAATATCTCATCTATATATTAAAAATTAATTTTAGACAATATTAATAGAGATTTATATACTAGATAAAATACATACAGTATAAAACTCCGACTTATCCAATATTCTTGATTTAAACGTTTCTCCACATTTAACGTTTAAATCTCTGATCCCCTGAGTAACTCTAAATCGGGGGTTTCCTGTAATTAAAATTTTATATTAATTTTCTATTTTTTTTTTTTAAAAAAACGCAAATTAGAAAAGCAAAATGCTAAAATAAAATAATTGATAAATTTTTATTTGATAATTAAGAATTATATGTATGATCAAGATCAAAATAACCGGTGTAAATATATTTAAAAAAAATAAAACTCCCCACTAATACGTGATATATTTATATAAATTGTAAGTATTATAAATTTAACCTGCATGAATAAAAGTATATAAATAGTTAAAACTAAGGTACTTTGGAGATTTATACTATAGCGGATATAAATTTACTAGTAAATTTTATTCACATTTAAATGTAAATTTAAAAATCTTTGCAATTATATTATTTCCTTATTACCATTTATTATTATTTTTTAATAATAAATTTTCTAAATTCTCAGTATAAATTATGAATAAATTAAGCTATGAACGAAATTGAGACGTTTTTAATATCTTTAAAAGAGAGTATATGATTTTTAATAATATTATGTCAATTGACAACATAATATAAATTTATTAAAATTTTGATTTTATATTTAAGGTTCGAACATTATTCGTTAGTGGCATACCAATGGACGCAAAACCCAGAGAATTATATTTGTTATTTAGGAATTTTAAAGTTAGATATATTGAATTATTTTGATAGATGATATATTTCAGTAGCGTCACTAGGGAGGGGGGCGCAAGGAATCGAGCATCCTGAAAAATTTGAAGAGCCCCTCAAAATATTTAAAAAAAGGTAATTTAGGATAGTATTAGCTACAAAAAGGTATTTTGGATAATGTTAGCTAAAAAAAATTTTTAAATTTGAGTCGAGATTGAAAAGGCTAGTGATGTCCCTGATATATTTCACAGTATATAATGTGGTAAGTTAATCTGAAATAAGGACTAATCCGAAATTCTTACTTGTAGAATCTCTAAAATATATATCTTTAAAATATTCTGATTTTACCCTAAATAAATTCCAGCATGCATAAATTTTTATAAAATTGTCCTAAAAACTTTTGATTTTATCATAATTTTTATATTACATACCTTTCATATGAATTAAAATACATAATATAAATATTATATGGTAAAATTATCTAAAATTAATAAGCATAGATAGAGGAGACTGGTGTAAAACAATAGGTAATTTGAATTTTTACCATAAAATTTTAAACATAATTGAACTAGAACATATTAGAAATCAAATGTAGCCCTATTCCTCAGCTACAAAATAAAAGAAGGTGTTCTACCTATAATACTTTAGAAGAGTAGCGTCACTGGGGGGGGGCGCAGGGCCTCGAGTCCCCTGAAAAATTTGAATAGCCCCTAGAAGCAAATTTTTTTTTTAGTGGCTCCCTAATATCCCCCCTAAACTTCAAAGAAATTTTTTGATAACCCCCTGAACGATTTGATTTTATTAAAATTAATAAGACTCTCTAAATTTTTACTAAATGAATTTATGTCAGCTTGCAATCTTTGTGTTATAAATGGAATATCAATATAACTCATAATGTCTAAATAAGTTGGAGCTTAATTGATTTCTATTATTTAAATTATTTTATAACCCTAATTAAATTAAAATAATCATCTATTAATTGAAAATTAACAAATTTAATATTGTAATTAACCGAGTTCAAAACCACTAATCAACTTTATTATTCATTTTTAAATTTAATTACCATCCCTCTTCCCAAAAATATTTCCAAGGTCCAAACAAGTATAAAAAATTTGTTTATAAAAAGTGAGTAGACATGTTTATAATACTCTATTATATAGAATTGATTATAAAATATCAGATAAAATGCCACTTTTATAGACATATGTGACAGTAATAGAATATATTATACGCTTAATATTTTGATCTTTACTAATCAATACTTTTGATAATAAATATAAGTAACAATTTGCTTTCAATTTTTTAATGCCATCTAACATCTTATTATTCATCTTAAAATGAATGTAATCCTTATTAAAGATCTGTTTTTCCTTCTCTTTTTATACGTGTTTTTAGGGAAATTTTTTCTTCATTGAAAAACAGTTTTGAGTTAAATTTTTAATACATTATATTTTTGATATTATTACAAACTACTATTATTTTAAGACATAGTATTCCAACTAGCAGTGGTGCGACAATAAAATCTTAATTGCTTTCATCATATCACTCTGGTCCTTATTTTCTAGTTACAAATGGATTCATTTCTAATATGGCATCCTTACTGTGTAAATAACTCAAGGCTTCAATATATTTGTATAATTATTTCTTCTAAAGATTTTTACTGTTTTGGTACTATCAATTTATTTAACATAATAAATTCTGATATGAGTTTACTTTGTGTGTCATGGCTATGACTGCAAATTAATCATCATCCATTATTTGTGTGGCTATGTAATTTAAGATTATTACTCATGCTGTCGAGAGCATTTGATTGAATAATTTAGATATGCAATAATGATCAACTGTCTAGTCGTTTATATATCATTAAAAATGGAAGATAATCTTTTAGAAATTTAATATCTCATAATAATTTTCTCTATTACTTATCTAGCTTGCATCATTTCATCTAAGAGGAAGCTCTAGTCATCTAAGAGGAAGCTCTAACCACCATATAGTTTTATGATTTGTAGTCGTTTATATTCTCTTCTTCAAGAATTATTGATTTAGTTAGGCCTACAAATTTTTCCTTATTATTCAATTCTATAAAACATTGTCTAAAATGTTAATACAATGTTATATTAGTTTAATGATCTTTTGTCAATGTAGATTGATAAGAATTATATTGCTTTGTGTGGTTTTTAAAAACCATTATCAATTGAGGTTAACTTTTTTAATCACTTGTAATTCTTTAGACAAATATTTTTTTATATCCGTAATCGAAAATTTAATATTGTAATAAATGGATAAATATTGAATTAATAAATTATCTTTAGAAATGTCTTGTATTGTTTTACTTACATTTTTGTAAGCATAATAAATGACAAAATATGAAAATCAGAATAATTGTTCAGAGTTTGCAAATTTCAATTAAAAAAGTATAATATATTAATATAAAACCCGGCATAAGGCCTAACAAAAGATTCCCCGAAGGCCTGAAAAGTAGGGAGTATAGGGGTTTAGCCCCCCATAAATTTTTTTAGTTGCGCCCCCAGAAATTGTAAAGGCTATTGACACCCCTGCTTTAAGAGCTATAGTTAATTATGTGAAATATACCATTTTCATCATTTTACCCCGTACCCAGGGTAAAATAGCTGAGCACCAAGGTAAAGCGGAGATTGAACACAACTTTATATCTTTATTGAACAAAATGTTAGTAATTTTGACATATATTTGTTATTTTTAATTATAAATTAATCAATATAATAAATGAATGTAAAGAAATTTTCAAAATTAGCACATTTTGAGTGTGCCCATTTTAGGCATATGGTAGATTTCAATTATTCCTGATCTTTGCGACTATTTTTAAAATTTTTATTCTAATAAACATTCAAACTATTTTTTAATGTTCCCTATTGCCCAAATTTTATATATATTTTAGGTAAGAAATTATATTTTAAAATATAATCTCACACCAAATTAGGCCTTTCTTTGTGTTTAAGGGTTTTATCATACTAGCATTGTTTCCCCGTCAATCGCTTTACGATCGTCATCTTAAATTTTTGATTGACCTGTCCGCCCAAACATGCTGATGCTGGACTGCATCTCTGTTCAATCAGAATTTTTTCTAATTTAAAAATCGCCCTGAAAATTCCGAATTATATGTATAAAATAGTAAATTTCGCAACAAAAATTTTTAAATTTTAATCTTATATTATTAGGGATACGAGAATTCATTGCTCAAAGTCACCAATAAATTAGGCAAAAATCTTTCGGTATATTGATTTGATTTATATTTTATTTTTATATAAAAATATTAATCAAGAAATTAATTTAACATAAACTTGGATAAAATATAGTCTTAAATTCCAGTTTACTTCCAATTAAAATTTTTTTTTTGTCGGTCACCTTAAATGATGAATGCACCATATTATTTATTATGTGGTTAAAAGTCAATACCGGGAAACTTTTATAGCGAATAGAATTATCACCAATGCGCTAAGCGTAAAATTAATACCACGTATGCATTTTCATAATTAGAGCAAAAATATTATCGTGAATGCATGACTACTAATGTATATCCGTAAATCATTACTCCAAATATATTACAACCAATATATTAGCGCGAATACCTTGAAAGTATTAATTACATTTTGGCAAATGCAATGCCGCGAAAACATTATCGTAAATGCATTTTTGGGAATGCGTTCTGGGGAAAATATTATGGCAAATGCATCATCTCAATATATTACCGCGAATACATTATCGTAAATTTGGGTTGGTTAGACTTTTAGCGGATCTGTCCTAATCCAAAGTTCTTTAAAGATGTTTGAGCTTGCTTGATGAGAATATAACAATAGACTATTTAAAGAAGAAAGGCAGGTTAGGTAGTAAGATATGGGACCGGCAATCCCAACAATTAAATAATATTTTTAATCTACGAAATATCTCAAAAATAAAAATATATAAATTGACTAACTGCATATACTGTAAAATCGAAATTTACAAGTAGCAAAGAATATTAGTACCAATTTGTCAAATATAAATAAATTTCTAAATAGATCACAATATTCCAGTAGCAACATTATTTACACGTTATTGCATTCGCTGTAATGCATCCGCGATAATGTTCATACGGTAATGCATTCATAGTAAAATTTTAGCGGCAATACATCCACAATAAGGTTTTTGCTATAGTACATTGGCTATAATGTTAGCGGTTTTGTTTTTACGATTGTGAAGTTTTTTACTATATTGAATTCGCTGTAATGTCCGAGGTAATACATTCGATGTAATTGTTTCTGATATAATATATTTACTGTAATGCATTCGCGATAATACTTTTTCGCTGTGTTGAATTGACATGATACTATTTAATGTAAACAAAATTATCATTATTTTACATAATATATTTGATTTAGTACAAAGTATAACCTTAATTTAAAAAAATTTAATGTTGGAAAAATGTTTTGTAATACAATATAAAAATGCCCAAAACGATATCTATTTAATATTATATTTTAATAATTCCCTAATACATCATTTCATTTTATATATTTTTCATTAAATATTTATAAATTATAAATTTTTCATATGCGTGTGCGTGTAAATACGCCACTTCTTTTTTTTATTATTGAATTTTTAAAAAATTGATGAGAGTTTTAAGTCAATATAGCTTGTAATTTTAGGAAATTTTCTTTTTAAGCGATTTAGAATATTACCCAAATATTTCACAACTTTATAAATTTTATTCAAAAATGTGTACACCCTATTTCATATGCATGGCCTGGATTTTACTAAGGGCGAAAGAGGGTGGGAAGCAATATTTGGTGGAATTTTCCCCATAAGTTTCATTGAAGGTTTTTAGGTCCACTTATTGTATGTATTTGGCTATATTATATCTTTTTAAAAATATATTTTTTTCTAAAAATTTTGAATTATAGATTTTAAAAAGTTATTAACTTTTATTAATTTTTCTTTGAAATTCTTCTTTATAATGATATATTGTATAAATTTTTAGGAAAGAGATAATGGGGGGAGGGGGTGTAGGGGGAAATATTTTATTGGCTTAAAATGATATTTACGAGAAGACGTAATTTTGAAGCAATTGAGAATTGCTATCAATAATCCTCATTATCTCCATCTAATCATTCAAATATTTATAATTTAAGGAACAATTTAAAAAATAAATGATGAAACAGTAAATTAAACATGAATCGTTAAAAACAACACTTGATTAATAAATCTATTTATTCTTTTTTACAAAAGCCCGTTGGTTTTATAACTTTTAAAACAAGAATAGATGCCGAAAACGCCAAAATGCAACTACAGGTTTAAAATAAATAATCCAATTTTGCATAATATAGTAGAGGCGTTTTGTTATTTGATAAATTTATTATAATATCTTATAAGATTATGATAGATAAAAAATTTTAAATTTGTTTTAAAATATTTTTCAAAAAATATATATTTAACTTAGAATATCAACTGATTTAAAATAATGTATTTAAAAAAAATACTCATATAATAGGGAATCAAGTTTGATCCCGAATCATGTCAAACATTGAGACTTGAATTTGCCAAAACAAACACGAAAGTAGCCAAACCTAAATCCAATAACAATATCATAAATATGAATAATGGCATTTCAAATTTAATCAATGGCAATTACAATAATTTACATATTGATAACACCTTAAGCAAATTACCGAACAATATAGTGCAAACTAATAACGCTTACCCCAAAATATATTTGAATCCAAACACTAACTCCTTATTGCGTCAACTGAATAACGATATAAATATAAACAATATTCATCAAATTAAACCTTCAAACCTACAGTTAAATATGCCTCAGGTACTTAATTGTCAACCAGGCTATCTACGATCTATTAACTCAAGTATAATGCCTTTTTAAATATTAGTTTTCTTTAATTCATCAAATTATTCTCAAAAAAATTACAACATTTTTTCAATTTTACACAAATAGATTATTTAATAATAAATGACATCTCTTATAAACCAAATAGTTTAAAGCAAATTTATTCTTATAGGTAGGATTTTGTCTCATAATTGATTATAGGTCTTATTACAAGTTCTGTTATTTAAATTCTCAATAATTATTTAATAATTATACTTATTATTGTATTATCCTATTTGAGCATATATCTTATTCTTTCAATTAATATTAACTCTTTGTGAATACTAGAACATCTGTTTCAGATTTTAATTAAAATTCGCATAGGATATACGTATCTTTTTCCTTAACATATGAGCAGTAAAGTGATACTTTTGTTATATATACTTTTTAAATGTTTTGGAACCTTTTGGACAATTTTTCCCAGGTTATATTTTGTGACTCCGTCTTCAAGTTCGGGTCTTTCCCAAAATATGGGTCATTTTTTTAACACGACCTAAAGGTTTAGATCGCTTTTTTTCACCCTAACCCAAGGTCTAAAATATAATAATAAATAATATTAATTTTTTTAGACGTAAAATTAAAATTTTAATTATAGATATCGTCTGCTGAATATTATAATGTTCTATATCTATTTTTTAACTTTTCAGGAGGGCATTTGAAGAAAAATGCTTCTTGATTTTAAATAGGAGATAATAACTAATGTTGTTAAACGGCTCGATTTGAGGCGATTTTTAAAAGGCTATATTATTATTTTAGCCAGATATAGAAATTTCTCTAATATATGTTCAAACCTTTCGCCATTTGCAAAATCTTCAAGCTTTGCTTGATATTTTCCTGGATAAAATTTTGAGTTTGTCGTTTTTAAAAATCGACTAAAATAGAGCAGTTTAACAGTATTAACGGTAACAATGCAAATAAAGGATTATTCTAAATTATATTTTAATATTTTTACTGTTGATTTGTAAGAATATACTAGTTGAAGAAATTGATTAATCGAGAAAAGAATGTATTTTGCAAAAATGAGGATAACACTATAATACTCCGCCGATGATATGTATGTGTGGTAAATTTATCCAGAATATGGAATAATCCGGGAGAATCCTATTGCGAGGATTTGAAATATTTCATTTTAAATTATTAACTGTTGATTTTGAACCCTGATTTTACCGGAAATTAATTCCAGAATGTATAAAGTAAATCACGAATCCGATAGACCTTGTTTCAAATCCAGCAAGGGTCATATATTTTTTCTGAAGCTAACTTAGTGGTTCAATACTTGGGGAAATGATATATAGTAGATCGGATACCACCATGTGATGTTAATATATATTAAAAAATTAATGTCTTATTACATTTTGACAAAATTCGATCTTTGTTTAGCAAATGTTTTGACTTTTATTATGATTAGCTTTCATAGAGTCTAATTTTTCAAGATCGGCTTGAACAAAACTTCTTTAATTTTCAAAAAGCCCAACTTAAAATAAAATTATTTGACCCCTTCCCGGCCTGGCCCGAATTAAATATTTATTTTTTCAATATATTTTTAAATTGAGCAAAATCAAGTTTTAATGATATGCTTGGTTCATTTCCGGAAGGAGTATTTCTTACTAAATTTAAAAACAGATGTTGAAAATTGTTATTTTTAATCAGTGTGGGAGGATTCCGGAAGTCTTTATCCTAGATAAACTTACCCTATATGATGTACTGAGAAAGTTTCTGTATTTCTGATCTATTATATTATATCAAAAAAATTGACTATTGTAACATCTTTAATAATGAAATGAAGATGAGCTGAGTTCAACATTGGTAGCAACTCCTAACGAAGGACTCATACATCACTTTTATGCTGACTTTGGTTCTAATAACGCTTCTCCGCAATGTTCAATGCAACATTCGCCATCTCTTCCCGTATTTAAAATGAATTCATATTTAAATTATATTACAATGACTTCTATCTTAAAATCGATATTTTAGACAATTTATTATTTTCATTGACTTGTTTTTTTATTTGACATGATAGACATACATACCTCTCATATCGGGAGACTATTTATTAACTCATCCTAAGTCCATCATCCAAGTTCCTCTTGGGTCAAGTATGATGGACTATAAAAACCAGACATATTTTGCCAGTATCAATGGGATGGAAAATAACACTATTCATTATTTAAACGGCGATGATAATGTTTCTAATAATAATCACGAATGCAACAACATTAACTCGAATCTGTATTACGATATTGTTAACAACAATCAATTATCTTTGTTCAAAAACAGAGCTTATTCCCAAGAAGAAAGCGATTCAATTAACGAGACAGATCAGACAAATGATTGTGATTTGCCACAAAATATGCGTATTACAGATGTTTTAGATGTTGATCAAAAAGAAAATCTCAACCCTCAATATAAAAGTATTAAACATGTTATGACTACGAACTCTACAAATAATCAAAATGAATCCATGTCTAAAACTGAATCAGAAAATGCAACATCCCAACCAAATATTATCGGTACAAACACGACTAATGTATTAAATAAGAACGATAACTCCGACTTAATTCTAGAAAATGTTAATAATAATAACTTGCCAAATAATGAGATCATTGTCACAGATATTTCTAAAGACAAAACAAAACAAGAATTAGAAAAATATTTTGAAATGTAATTAATCTATATACTAATAATTACTATACAATTTAAAAAAATATATATATTATAAGAATAAAACTCTAATGTAAAATTAATTTCCATTGTAAGATTCATAATAATTATAATATATATTTATAATTTAATTTAAGATTTCCAGGGTTCGCTACTCTAAACTTCAAAGCAGAACGAAATGAAACGCAAACGGCGTTTATAAATTTTGAGGATTACGATAAAGCTACGCAGGCCTTGAACTATTTAAATAATTTTAACGAAGAAAAGTCTAATAACAATATTAACTTACTTATAGGTAATAAAATTTCCTTTAATGTCATAAAGAAAGACTTGTTCAATGAAATACCTAATTATACCATAAACAACAAGATTGGAAAAGTAATGTATTTTACGTTTGATTACACATGTTATTTGAGTATAATATTTTTTGATAATTTAGTATGGGCTGTTAGTTACACTACACTTAGCTTTCATCATAAATAAATAAAGGATATGTTATAGTTAATTCGTATCGTTTGTAAATATCTCAATACTTAAGATTCGTCGCTACTTAATGACTGCCTCACTTCGTAAAGCGATTGTCTATTATCACAAAAAGATATTTTCGCAAATGCATTACCATCAAAATATTACTAAAAAAATTACAAGTGAATGCAATTTCCTATTCTTTGTAGGCATAGTCAGGTAAGGTGGGTGGGAACATTCCCCTCAGAAATTTGCCTGTTTTAGTAAATATAATTAAGTGAATAAAAAATTAGACTACTCTTTCCTTCCCCACCCCTCTCGTCAAAAATTGTCTATTCCCCTCACCCCTAACAAAGCCATGGATTAAAAGGCCTAATATAAACTAAGGTTAATGGCATATATAATGTGATGGCTAGAGTTGAAAATAACTATTAATATGTGAATGATATCACGGAGCTATCTTCATACTTATAAAAAAAAATTTAATTAAAAAACTTTCAATATATTCATTAACATAATTAAATAAAAATTTGAAAAATAACTCTTTTTAAATTAAATTCATGTTAATTTTACAAATACAAATCAGTTATGTTGGGATTAATTTGAAACCAATAATTTTATTGAATAATTAAGTTAATTTAATGAATTTAAACATTTCAATATTGATAAAATAAGCAATTTTATATAAAAAATACTAAAGTCAAAAGGGTTATATATATTTTTAGATGTTTATTTTCCCGAATTGGGTGCTAACTCAATTTATTTTCTGGGATATATATTAATATAGATATGAATATTATTTTTTTGCTTGATTTTACTTAAGCTAAAATGTTAAGGCTAGTGTTATTAAACGGCTTGTTTTGAGCCGATTTTTAAAAATGGCTAACTCAATTTTTTAGCAAGAATCGAGATTTTGCTAATAGATGTCCAAACCTTTGTTCCTTCTATAAGCAAAATCTTCAGGCTTGCGTAATATTATTCTGGATGAAATATTGAGTTAGTCGTTTTTAAAAATAGGCTCAAAACGAGCGGTTTAATAACACTATTAAGGCTATAAAGATTGATGGCCTAGTGTTAAGATTTATATATAATTCGATGGCTACCGCAAGTTAGCTTGTAGGCAATACATAAATAAATATTTTAAAAAAATTAATTGAAAAAATATGATTAGAAATTTTTTTTTTCATGGTAATGCATGCGGTAATTGACGTTCGTTTTAATGCACTCACAGAAGTTTTGCGGTAATGACATGTAAATCCTAAAGTTATGTTTTATTTTCCATTTATCAAAGGTAAAGTAGCGAATGAGAAAAATGAATATCTATTCCAAATGACTTATAATATTTTAAAATGGTTATTAACGTATTTCCTAAAATATTGCGATTCGCAACTCTTTTCCTTTGATAAAAGAAGGGACCCAATCAACATTTAAGATTTAGGATAATGTCAAAGCAAGCTTAATTATTTTAAAGTTTTTATATAATTTAAACTGTTTAATATTTATCTTTCTTTCATATATGTGCACCAAATGCTTTGTCCGTTATTCGTATTTCACGCAATCCTGATATTCTTATAACCAATATTAACATGATTGTTGGCTGAAAAATGTTTACACAAAAAATTATCAATCATTTTAAAAAAAAGGATCTATTTTACATTAGGAATAAGAGAAAATATGGATCTACTAATGAATATTTATAAAGAACAACATTTTTAGTATTCTTGTTTTGTATCATATAACTTTTATTTAATAAACTCTCAAAGATTAAACAAAATATCAAGATAATTATGTATTATAATAATTTTTTTTTTTTATATGGAACTCTCCTAAGGTGATATCTTAATTATACTAATTATATACCATACATAAAATGCAACAATAATTATAACTTATTTATGTTTTATATTTTTAACATTATAATTGTAAGTATTGCCAAAAAATTATTTTATAGAAAATACTTTATGGTGTTGACCACCATCATTGTTTAATACTTAAATATTCAACAAATCTTATATTCTGTGATATGATCGAAAAACTATTTATATCCTATTATGAAGAAATATATATATGTATAAGAATAAAAAATAATAATTAGAATATATTATTATTTTAAAAGCGATTTTTATACATTAAGCCCTTTTTTTTATACTGGTCTAATGAAAGATAAGAAGCAGCTTTTGGCCGAATGATTCACATCCATAAAGTATATCGATTTCTTAAATATAAGATGGTTTCCTGGGGAACACAGATGTAATACCATCAAACTCTAAAATAGATAAATGCTAAGTTTATATAGAGGAGTATATTCTTTTTTTATTTTAACAAGAGTTATAATACCTGTTATAAGAAGATAACCAATTATAAAATATAATAAATAGAATCAACTAATTCATATAAAATTCTTATCATATATAAGTGCTTGTTTATATATTTGGGACAATAATTATGGATAGTTTTATAATAAAAATTATGAATGTAAGAAATCCATTTTCTAAACAATCGTTTCTTTCTTTCCTAAAGAAATTATTACGCTATTTTTAACAGTTTCAACAGAATCCTCTCCTTTAGGAGTATCTGTATCTATGATTAATAAGGTAACATCCCGTAATCGGGGTTCTATGTTAGAAGATGTCAAAGAAGCACGAGGATTGGTTTGAACAAGTTCCTCATTACGTAATGAGGGGTCAATTTTTTCTCCAAAATTAATTGATTTATTTTGGTTAACCAGGGTGTTCCTTCTTTTAATACTTTTGCGTTTTTGAATTTTTGCGTTATTACCATTCAATTCAGAATGACATTCACAATAGTGAGGGTTTTTTGCTATCGGGTTAATTTTGTTTGTATGATCTAAGACTTTGAAATTAAAAAGGGGATCAATAAAATGTAAAGAATTAACCAACTCGTGATTTGCAACTTGATAAGTGTTAGTACTATTTTGAGGCTGAATTCGGTCATGATCATCGTAGAAAGAGGTTAATTTAGTCACATTTTTAGATTTTTGCCAATTTTTGGTTAGCGGCTTGAAAGTTAAGGGATTTAAGGGTCTGCTAAGACAATCGAACAATTTTCCACTTATATAGTTGCAACTATTTTCACTCGGATGGTTAGTTTTAGATGATAAACTTAAGGATGATTCCTTCATCTTATGAGCGTCTTGGGGATCAGTGATAGGTAATGAAATAAATATTTTAGGTATCGATTCCGTGTGACTGATTGGTTGAAAACTTTTGTATTTTAAACGAAGGTCCGTAGTTATATAATTGTATTGCGTGGATGAGAAATTCAATCTGTGTTTATTAGCTTTATGCAAAGTTTTATCATCAATTTGCCCTTGAGCTAAATTGGATTTGGTATTCAAAGATTGAGTAAGATCTGTATTAATCTTATTTTGTATACGCTTACCTTTGTTAAATATTTCCCTGCCGGAGGAGCTTAAGCCTCCCGATTCGTAGCCCTGCGATAAACAAGTAGACGAAGACATGTTAGATGAGGGCGATCTTGAGGGTGACAAATATATTGGTGGTTTTAAATATCTATAATCTTTGGATGTGGTATTATTTAGGCTTGCATTAGGCGACGAATATCTTCGAGCCATTTTTTTGGTCGTAAAAGTCAATAAATTATGAGAAGGTGAAGGCGGTTTATACAATTTAGAATCAGAAATATTTTTCTGCTTATTTATATAATTTTGGTTATCGTATCCTACTATTTTTTTATTCTTGGATTTGTCGTTAAATGTTATCGCAGGGTTTTTGTTCTGAAGATGAAATGATGATGACGATGAGTGATTTGAAGAGTTTCTACGTGTTAGTGCATTTTGATTGGTTAACCCGCTCGTAGAAATTGTACATGTACGGGATAAGCCTTGATTAATAGTGTAATTGTTAAACAAGGTTTTACTCCTTTGGGGAATATTAAGGTGTGGAAGGTAATAATGTGTTGTGGAATCGTATAAATGCGTTTTTGTAAATGCTAAATTCGAATATTGATTTTTAAATATTGTTTTGTTATTACTAGAGATGTTGGGGATAATCATTCCGCCACAAGAATCGCATTTTGCTGGGCTATATTTATTGTTGCTAATCAGGTTATCGTTTTCGAAAGTATATTTATTACATTTTAGACCATTTTCATTTTCTACTTCTTTAATGATTCTCAACGATTGAAATTTACTTCCGGAGTGGTAATTAGCAAATTTATCGCTCCTCATATTTCTTTGATTTTTTTTAACAATATCGACAGAATTTTGTGAATTTTTTTTATAATGTTTAAGCTCGGGCATTATCAAATCCCTGTTTTGGTAACGAAGTAAATTTTCATTTTCCGATGGAGATATTCGACTTTCAAGTAATTTTTCATTTTTTTCAGACAATATATTATCATATGATGAATAGGCACTTTCACCATCTTCCTTGTGGATATCACGGAGCTTCTCGTTGCAAGATATAAATTTGTCATATAAAGTTTTTGGCATAATAGGAGGTGAGTGAAGACGGTTTTGTTGTCTTAGAGGATTTTTGATGCAATTTATTTCATCCTCAGTGTGGTAGGTAGTCGTGGTGCTAGTGTCAGTGTTAAATGAAAATTCTGTGAAAGATGATGGAGATTCTCGGGGAGAAACAACTAACCTTGGATCATTATATCTAAGATGCGATGCAATCGAGTTTGTATTATCATGGGATGCAAATTTATCGTTTTGATTTTTGTCATTGTCGTAGCTGGAGTTGGACGAATGACGCAGTTTATCAGGTTTAAAATACTCTTTTATTTGTTTTCTCATGGAAGAGCTTCTTGATCTACATTTTTGCCTGCGAGGAGTAGTGTATTGATAAGATAAAAAGTCTGGACGTTTTCGATCGATATAATCGCTATATTTTGATGGGAGTGTGTTCCTATTTAGATCGTATAGATCTTTCTCTTCCTCGTCTTCCCCATCCAACAATCTGTCTTCTTCAGCTTTACTATTTTATATTTAAATATAATAAATAATTTATAAGGTAAATTTTTCATTTCGGGAAGTAGTGAAAATGTGAACTTAATGTGAGTGTGCAAGCCTAAAAAAATTTATATTGCTGATGCCACTGATGCAAATTATTATTCTATTTAGATATTCTAATTAGACTACAGTTATAACTATTATAAATATCAGTATCAAAGGTGCTCCGTCAATATGTTAAGTTTTTAAAATTTAAATCATTTGCGTTTTATAAATTGAAAATCGTATTTTACCGGAAATGTATTCCTCCAGTTAGAATACCTACCTACCCTATTGAATTTCAGACAATTTTACTATTAACTTATGAGTTTTATAATTTATACAAAAAAATCTATGTAAAATCATTATAAATTAGAGTTTTATAGTCTGATCTTGTAATAATCAGAGAGTAGGTATTTCTCTACACATGCTAGAATATATTTCAAGTAAAATCAGCTATCAAATTTCAGAAAATAGCATATTTCCATAAAAAAAAAGATATTGAAGTTACTATAATACAATATATACAACAATTTAAGAATATATAAAATTTACATTAATGATTTATATCTCTGATCGAAGCTATAATCTAAAAGCCGTGGATTACAATTGTACAGATTTAGGTACATCTCGTTCAACAAGTCAATCTCAATCTAATTAAAAAATATATATTATTGAAGTCAATCAACCATCCATATAAGAATAAAATATAATATGTCACAAAATTAGTCCACCTTAAATAATAGTTCTACATTTTCAATCATGAATTGGACAACTTTAATAGCAAGCTTTCTGTCTTCCATCAATTCATCATTATATTCACCTACATCCACTTTTTGTAATCTATATGAATGTAAAATATTTGGTCCAAAAATCAATGCCAAATTTCTGGCATCCATTTTGTTGCCATAAATCTATTTAAAAGATCAAATTTCAATTTAAAAAAAGCTAAAATATATAACTATGTGCCCATCATCTCTGACAACGTCATCGGAATGCAATGTAATTTTATGAAGGAATAACATAAGTGCTTCTAAGGTATTTCTATTAGTAGGAGGTAACAAACACAAAAGATAATTCAAAATTTTAATTTGAGCTCTATCATTTTCAATACCTGATGATTTGATATGCAAAATAATAAAATGGTTAAAATTTATGTCCTCCATAAAGTGAGTTAGTTAAAAACATTATTGGGTATTTCCAAGGCCATACTTTTATTCAGGTTTTAAACAATGGTCAAGAACTATATGATGCTTTATAAATTAACCTCTCTTGGATAGTCATTTCATTGAAATTTAGGGCATTCCTTTAATTAGGTTTTTGGTGGAAAGAGTGGGGGGGGGGGAGATTGGATAATAAACTATTGAAATATACACATTCGGAAGAGGAGCTCAGTGGCGTCACTAGAGAAGGGGGGGGGAAGCGCGCAGGGGCTCGAAAATTTGAATAGCCCACTGAAGCAAAAAAATTTTTTTTTTAATGGCTCTTTAATATCCCCTTGAACTAAGAATAATTTTTTTTGATTGCCCCCTAAACGATTTCTTTTATAATTCTATTAAGATATATAGATTTAATTTTAATATTAAAAAATTAATGAGCCTAAATTTTTATCATATAAATACTATTTTAATTATTAGATTAGATTAATACATATAAATTATATTTTCATTATGTCAGTTGCAATCAAATTCTGTGTTAAAAATAATATCACTCACTAAATATTAATTTATCATTAACAGTTGTAGCTTAATTGACTTTTATTATTTAAATTATTATATAACCCTAATTAAATAAATATAATCATTTATTAATTGTAAATTAACAAATTTAATATTGTAAAATTAGCTGAGTTTAAATTTTCAAAATAACTAATTAACTATATTATTCATTTTTAAATTTAAGTTGCCTCTTCCTAAAAATATTTTGAAGGTCCAAATAAGTATAAGAGATTTCTTTATAAAAAATAAGTAGACATATAGTTTATAATTCTCTATTATATATAATTGATTAAAAAATATTAGGTAAAATGCCACTTCAGACGTATTTGACAGTTATATAATATCTTACAGTTAATATTTTAATAAATTTTACTAATAAATGCTTTTGATAATTAATATAAGCAACAATTTGCATTCAATTCTTTAACACCATCTACTTATTTAATTAAAAATTAAACATCTTATTATTCATCCCACAATGGATGTAATAAATTAGATTAGATATCTTTTCTTATCTTTTTTTACGAGTTTTTAGGAAAGAGATTTTTTTCTTCTGAAAAACAATTTTGAGTTAAATTTTTACGAGTATATTTTTGATATTATTAGAAACTACTATTATTTTAAGATATAATATACCAACTAGAGGTGGTGCGACAATAATATATAAAATCTTAATTGCTTTCATCATATCACTCTGATTCTTAGTTTATAGTTACAAAATGTTTTATTTCTAATATGGCATCCTTGCCATGTAAATAACTCAAGGCTTCAATGCATAATTTCTTCTAATTATTTTCAGTGATTTTGTTTTATAAATTTATCTAATATAATAAATTCTGATATGAGTTAACATCGTGGGTGTCATGGCTATGACTGCAAATTAACCAGGTGGCTATGTAATTTAAGATTATTACTATAGCTGCTGATAGCATATTTTAGATAAGCAATAATGGTCAAGTCGTTTATATTATATCGTTAAAAATGATAATCTTTTAGAAATATAATATCTCACAATAATTTTCTCGATTACTTATCTAGCTTCCATCATGTCATCTAAAAGGAAGCTCTAACCACTATATAGTTTTATGATTTGGATTGGTCGTTTATATTCTCTTCTTCAAGAATTGTTAATTTGGTTGGGCCTATAAATTTTTCCTTATTGGTACATTCTATAAAACATTGTGGAAAATGGTAACAAAGAGTTATATTAGTTTCATGACCTTTTGTCAATGTAAGTTGCTAAGAATTATATTGCCTTATGTGGTTTTTAAAAATCAATATCAATTGAGGCATATGTATGAATTAACCTTTTTTTATCACTTGTATTTCTTTAAACGCAAAATCTTTTTATATCAGCGAAAATATTTTATACTGTAATAAATAGATTTTGTATTAAAACTTATTATATTTAGAAATGTTTTGTATTGTTTTAATTATTTATATGCAGTTTATTTTGTATGCATAATATGATACATGACAAAATATGAAATTCAGAATAATTGTTCCAAATTAGCAAATCTTAAAAATGTATTATATATAATAAATATAACGCCCCCCCCCCCCATAAATTTTTTTAAGTTGAGCCCCCTAAGATTGTAAAGGCTAGCGACGCCCCTGGAGGAGTTCTTATGTATTCAAATACATTATATATATATATATTCAGTTTATTAAATATTATAATTATATTTTTTTAGAAAATAACTTCTCGTTGCTAAAAAGGATTGATGCAATTCATCTGTCATCAATGGTTCAGGTAATTCTCTAAAATACTCCTTCAAGAGCCCGGCAATATCGTGAGGACTTGGGTTGTCGTTTAAATAAACCTTTTTACCACAATTTATGTCTTCTTTTAGCTATTCAAATTTAAACATTATAATTTTTTTTACCAACATTTTTAGGGACATTTTTTATAATTAAAAAAATTTGATTTTATCGTTGTTGTCCAGAATGTATAAATACTTATTCCAAGTTTTTTAAATTTGAAATTGTCTAGAATTAATAGGTAGGTATTTTAACACATGCTGAAAAACATTTTCGGTAAAATCAGATTTTTAGAATTTATTTTAAAAAACGCGTTCAATAAATAATCTAAAGTTGAAAAATAAGATTTCATGTCAATTCAACAAAATTTTTTTTTTTCGAAATTTATTATAGCCAATGAATTTTATAGCGAAACTTTTGCCGCGAATCTATAATCGTGAATAATATTCTGCAAAAATATAACGTGAATTAAATATAGGTAATTTTTATATCGAAACCCTTACTATACACTCTTTAACGCGAATACATAACAGCGAAACATTTGTCACGAATTAATACTCTCGGAAATCTTGTAGCGGAGCATCATCGTGAACCCCAAATTAGAAAAAATAAAGCAAAAGTAATTTTGCGAATCATATAGCGAATTTATACCGCGAATGCAATAGCACGAAGATAATACCGCGATAATTGCTAATTGTGACTATTTTATTTTGAAAAAATAACATTAAAAAAAAAGCATGATTTTTAATTTTTTTAACCTTAATAAATGTACATAAAGATGCATTAGCAGTGATGCATTCACGATAATACTTTTATGAGATATCATTTTTGCTCTATTCGTACGTAACCCATATTGCAAATATAATTCGTGAAGGTTATTGCGAATACGTTTCCGCGAAAATATCCTTGTGTATGTATCAATACGAATGAATGATAGCGAATATATTATCGCGAATGAATTACCACGAATACATTATTACTAGTGTTGTTAAAAGTTACTTTTGAAACGTAACTAGTTACCGTTACTAGTGTTATATTTCATAAGCAACTCATTATAAGTTATTTTATAAGTTATTTATTAAACGAATTTTTTTATTTAATATAAAAATATATACGATTTACAAATCCTAATCAAAGGTTAAAATATCAGAATATCATATATAGCACTGATATTTTTATATCCGGGCTTTTAAAAATTTCTGACTTAAGGACGAGCTTGTTTCACTTCAAAAATAAACCTCCCTAGACTGAGAAAACGTTCTATGGAAACTCTTGGTGTAAGGACAATATTATATTTAATAAAAAGTAATTATTTAATCTCTTTTAAATTAGTTCAGATGATGACCCAGATTTATTTTGTAATTTCCACAAAGGTTGGCATGGCAATTTTATATGCTTTCTTATAATAATCATTCTCTAAAAGAATCTTTTTGCCATCTTGTGTTTCTACCAAGTTTAATGTATGATAAGAACTTATTCAGTGCCTAAGAAGATAGTCAAAGTCATTTTAATATTAGGGTTAGTTTATTTAGTTGATAATTATTATAATATTTAGTAAACAAAAATATTAAATTATTTAAGACAAGTTATGTGAAAACAATCTTACAGAGATGTATTCTCATAGCTTGGCGGTGGATGACTTAGATGCTGAAATACACTTTTTTTGGAAGATATTGGTTATATTATTACTTAATAAAATCGTAAAAATAATCATCTAAGATTTTATTTAATATTATGTAAATAAACATAAAAAAAGAATCCTTCAATGTATCCAAGTTATAACCTATAGGCAAAAATTATTAAGATTTAAAAAGAGACTATAAATAATTTATGATTATCATGAGATAAATAAACATTTATGCATACTTATGTCAGTAGCGTCAGTAAGGGTAGGTGGGGGGGGGCGCAGGGCTAGAGCTACCTGAAAAAACCCACTGAAAATTTTAATTTTTTTTATAACATGTTGGCAAAAAAAAAGATTATTTTAAAAATGTTATCTAAAAAAAAGTTATTTTAAAAATTGTTAGCTAAAAAAAAGGTCTTTTGAAATTGTTAGTTGAAAAAAAGGTTATTTTTAAAATAATTTTAAAAATATGAACCCTCTGAGATTGTAACGGTTAATGATGCTCATGACTTATATATTTAACTCGTAAGTTGTGGGAAAAATATCAAGACAAATGCAATTTCATTTTTTTACCACATAACTAATGAGCCTTTTCTTTTTCACCTATATAATTACGCATCGATACATTGAAGGATTCTTTCTTGATGTTTATCTAATGTTAAATAAATATCTAATTTTTTAGATGATATTTTAACGGTTTCAATAACAATTAGAGACCTGCAGCCGCCCTAAGTTCTGCCTGAGTAAATGGACAGGGCCGTATTTTAATTTTTTAAATATATTTGTGTCGGGCCGGGCTTAAAAAATTTAAAAGAAAGATACCCGGGCCATGCCGTATATTTAAAAACCGAATATTTTAAAACGCCATTAATAGCTATAAAACTAAAAATATATTTTTAAAAAATCCGGGCCATTTTTTAAAGGTAGGGCTGGGTCTTAGTATTTGATATCATTACAATAAATCAAGAAAGATAAATAAATATAATTGCATCTATTAGGTAGCGCCTAACTTTATTTTAAAATTAAGTTATATTTTAATGCTAAAAATTCCCAAATGTGATAGTGAGGTAAATCATTTTAAAATTAAAACTTCAAATTATAAATCTTTATCTAAAAAAAATGTTTACATTAAATGCTAGATATTGTTGGACCTAATTAGCCAATCTCAACATACTTGTGATAATAATTTCTTTATTTAAATAATTGTTTCTTATATAATTTTATAATTATATCACTGGATTAATTCATTAAATATAAATACAAAATATAATTAAATCCAGGAAAAATATATATATGCTGAATTCCATATCAAATCAACAAAAAAAATTCGATTACCCGACCCCCTTCAATTTTTTTTAAATTTTGTATACTGGTAGTATATACTATAACTAAGAACAAAAATGAAATTTTACCTTTCAACACTGTTTACCCGCTAAAATATGGCCGTTTAAAGCGCGGAAAAATGGTACATTTTTGACAAAATGCTCGAGAAATAATTATGTTAGAAAAATAATTTAAATTTTATTTTGTAGCTTAATAAAAGTTCTTTAAAATGATATAAAAATAAATATGATGGACATTTTATTAATATTGAAAACCAGATGTGTAAAACCGAAAATGGCCATAGAAAAAAAAGGTATTTTTTTCCAAAATTTCTTTTCTGTAGACACTGCTTTATATTTGTACAAAATCCTAGACTGGGATGAACATGGGTTTAGGAGTTATCACTTTTTATGGGTAAAATTGAACAAATTTAACATTAATATCATCATATTTTAATTTAATGAATAGTTATGAAATAATATTAATTTAAAAATTATGTCTAAATAATAGGCCCTTACCTTTTTTATCTTTATAAAAAAAAAATTGAGAGGTGGCTAGGATAATGAGCTGTTTAAAACTTTAGTTAAATTTTATCTCGAAATTAAAATTACTTGACAAAATTATTTTAAAAATTTTATTTAGCATAAAATAATCTACCAAAATTGAAATTCAACAATAAATTTTCCCCCATATATTCAAAATTAAAAGAAAGGCTTAATATTATTTGACGAGAATTCTATAGATTATAAAACATTCAAACAATGGATAGCAGTTGATCAAACTACCCTCGAAACACTGACAAAATCCGTTGACGAATTTGTAGATTATTTAATTGAATAATTAAACAATTTAATTCCTCATTTGTTTATAGCTTCACGATAATCATTAATTCGAAACTTTTTAAAATTTAATTTAAATGTTGGCGAATTCTTAGTTATTGCAGACTTTTCATAAAACTATGCATTTGTAGTGCAGAACTATGCACAAGGATTTAATCAGACCAATAATCAAGCCACTATCAACTCTTTTATAATTTATTACCGTGAGAACAACATAATAAAACATGTAAATTTAGTGGTTATATCAGATTGTTTAAAGCACAACGCATGTGCATTTTATTTATTTTAAAAATTAATCGTATTCTTGAAGGAAAGATTTAATAGAGTGGCTAAAATTTATTATTTTTCTGATGGAGCAGTAACCAATATAAAAATAAAAGATTTCATTAATCTCTACAATCATGAAAATGACTTTGGGATAAAAGCTAAGTGACATTTTTTGAAACTGCACAAGGTAAAAGTCCATGCGACATTTTGGGGACCGATGGTTAGCAGCTTGAGCAAGCTTGCAACGTCCATATGAATATCACATATCGACAATAATAGATTTATTTAACTATGCAAGAAATAATATTTATGGGGTAAATTATATATTTATGAGCAATAACGAATATATTAACATATAAAGTCATCCTGAAAGCAGATTTTTGAGAGCAAAGAGAATTTCTGGAACACAAAGTTCTAACCTTTTATTCCCCTAGACGAAAACAAAAGTCATAATTTATTAAAATTCCTTGGATGATTATAATATATGATATATTTTAATTATAAATTTTTGATTGTATTATATGTAATGCAATTTGAGGCAATTAAAGTTATAAATATGTTTAGAATTATTTTGACAAGTAACTTCGTGACAAAATTGCCACTTCTCAAAAATTTTGATAAATATAAAAAAAAAGTAAGGGCCTATCATTTAGACATAATTTTTAAATTAACATTATTTCATAACTATTCATTAAGTTAAAATATGATAATATTAATGTTAAATTTGTTCAATTTTATCCATATAAAGAGTGATAACTCCTAAACCCATGTTCATCCCAGTCTAGGATTTTGTACAAATATAAAGCAGTGTGATATCTATCTAGAGAAAAAAAATTTTGGAAAAAAACCTTTTTTTCTCTATGGCCATTTCCGGTTTTACACATCCGGTTTTCAATATTAATAAAATGTCCATCATATTTATTTTTATCTCATTTTAAAGAACTTTTATTAAGCTACAAAATAAAATTTAAATTATTTTTCTAACATAATTATTTCTCGAGATATTTAAAATAAATGCATTTTTTCGCGCTTTAAACGGCCATATCTTAGCGGGTAAACAATGTTGGAAGGTAAAATTTCATTTTTTTCTTAGTTATAGTATATACTACCAGTATACAAAATTTTAGAAAAATTGAAGGGGGTCGGGTTGAAACCTTGGTTGATTTGATATGGAATTCACCTTTTTTTAAAAAAATTAAAGAGGGAAATGGATAGGTAAGAAGCTGGAAGAAATACGATATTTAAAGTGAATAATTGGCATAGCAAGCCTTGGCCATAATAAAGAAACATCGGCTGATCGGTCCTTTCAACGGATCTACTTATCCTAAAAAAAGTTTGGCCTTTTCTAAATAGGTTAGAATATAGCTAGTGTTTAAAGATTTTTTTAGAAAAAAACAGACCCGCTGGATTTTTTATGTAATTCGCACTACTTGAAGGTAACAAAATCAGAGTTTCCGAAATATGTCAAAAATAAATCGATAAACTCCATTTAATAAAATAGAAAAAGATGCACAGGTAAAAAAGGATTTTACTACATTACATTAATAATATCAACCATAATCAAATATAAATATATAATAAAAAACAGATATTGCATTCGTGGCAATATTTAAGCGATATGCATTCGCGGTAATATTTAGACGATATTGTATTAGCTATAATTGCATTCGCGATAATATTTTCGCGGTAATATATTTGCTGCAATATATTTGTGATAATGCTTTCGCGGTAACACATACGTGAAAATTCATTAGCGGTAATACCATACTACCTTTTGCGGAAAAAGTTTCGCATATATATTACTAAAGTCAAAATGATAAGTTATACTTGTTTCATGCGTTTTTTGGAACAGCTAACACGAAAAATACCTTGCACATATAAGCCTATAAATAGTTTCAATAAAATTTGTACGTGTATTAATATAATGTTATTTACATCTGCTTTCCAAATATTTCAGACAGTTTTCCACAAAAACTGGAATTAAAAGAGGAAGCTCGTGATTGGATAGATCATTGTGTATATTGATATTATCATTGTATTCTATAAATCCACGAGTAACACCAAATTGCTTCTTTTCGGTTGGATCTCTTCTAAGTTCCAAGGATAATTGTCGCTTAACATAAATTATTTATATATGTAAAATAGTTTTTAATCGCAACATATTACATTCGGCGCATTTTATTCAAAGCATATTATATAAAAAAACTCTAAAAAATTTAAAATATAAAAACTTAAAATAAAAGGTTAATTTAAACCTAACCTGTATCTAGTTTCGGTGATAGTCTTTCTTTCTTTTTTTTCTTATTAAAGATAAAATTAATAATGATAAAGAAAAATAGATCCCATTAATTTTTTTATATAACTCCAGCTGTTAAAACGTGCGCGTTAACTGTCAACGCGACCTTATAATGGAAATTTTTTAAATATTCTAAATTACTATAGGGGATTGAGATTTATTCCGAGCTTTTGATCTTGAATCATAGAAAAATCGTTGATCATGTTGTATAGCCTTATAAATCGGTATACCGAATACCAAATTTCTATCTAAAATAATTTTGAATGCCATAAAATACAATCAATATATAAAAGTGGCATACTCTTTTTCTTGAAACCTAGTAGATCCGGGAGGCTGAAATTACTAGCATGGAATATTTTAGGAAAGTGATTTTGCCCAATTTTATGCAATTTTAATACTGTTGGTGCTTTTTCGGTATTTTTTTTTAAATAAATAATATTATTATAACAAAAATATTGAGCAAAAAAGATATTATGCAATGCTAATTCTAAGAACTCAAAGAATATTGAAGAAAACCACTTTTGGGAAGCCTACATATATTATCAGTGGCATAACACAAGGATCTCTGTAGACCCAGTGGTGTAAAGGGTTGGAGGCTTCAATGTTGATTTTTTCAAAAAAAAATTATTACAAAAATTAATATGGAGTAAATAATGTATACAATAATGTAATTTCGAAATAGCTTAAAGATAAAATTAATAATTCTTTTAGGCTCAGGGTTTTAACACTATTCTTTTAAAAATTTCCCCATAAATGATTGATCCTATTCATCTACTTTATCTGAATGTATAACACAGAGCATCATCTAGTTGGAAAATAAAATTCCCTTGTGGAACATTCGTCAAATTAATGAGCTCTTTCGATATAATATATTGATATTTGTAAGAATTTACAATTCCTTACTTTAATCTAGACCCTCCATCATACAACCCCATAACGCAAGATAAGATTGTCAGATTTAAAGGCCTCATCTGGCTTTCGTAATATAAAATTCTTTACATTTTGGTATATTTGCCTTAAAAATGACAGAAATAAGATTTTTTAAGATAATTGCTACTTATAAAGTGAAAAACCAGTAATGAATCTTTCTATTACAAGTATAAATAGAATGATTTTTTTTGAATTGTAACACTTCTTTTTACCGCCTTTTATAAAAATCTTAAGTTAAGAGTTTTTGAATCTATATATGAATTCAAAAGGAATTTTCGCGATTAATCAAAAATATTTCCGAAATTTTCGTAACCGCGCAGATAACTTCATGTTATTTAATCAAAATATAACTTTAAAAATTGCAGACAATAACACTATAAGGCATGCAAACTTCTGTATGATTTATAAATTATGACTTTATCATATAATTCTCCTTGCATAAAATTTTATGTTGGAATTCAATAGTTATGAATAAGGTATAATACTTTGTAATAATTTTGATATAATAATTGCGCGTTTTTTTACAAAAAAATCCATATGAAAAACAATTACTTTATAAAAATTTTGAATAATGGGGGCTAGAGGTCTGCAACGAGGCGGGCGGGCTAAATACTTTAAACATTGGGCGGGTGAGCAAATTTTTAGATTAATAAAGGGGGCAGGTATATTTAAAAAGACATGGATTGGCGTGCGGGCTGGTTAAAAACCTTAAAACAACGAGTGGACAAGCAATTTATCTAAAACCTGCCCATTGTAAACCTTTAGTAGGCGCATAGGGGTTGTTAAACACTGCATTTTTATCGCATTAAAATATTTTAAAATCCGGACTTGTCCTTACATATAAAAACCTCGTTATTATAAAAATATTAATTCATCAATCATAAAGTCATATGTAAAACAATAAAATTAAGTATCTATTTAATTGGGAGGGTCTCCTTTGATCGTAAGATTTTGATTGTATTTTGGTCCAATCAATATTTATAAAAATTTATCAAGCAATTATTCAATTTCTGTATTTACACTACCGGCCATAAATGACTGCTCACCCTGCATTTTTACATAAAAAAATTAATAACTTAAATTTTTTTAACTTATTTGGGTAAAAGCGAATTGATTATTTAATTTAAGATGTCTAGACATGTTTAGAAATAAAAAACTCGGAATTTCTATAAATCTTTCTATGAAATTTTAGCCTTTGAAAATAACATGTCAAAAATGACCAATTTGGTAAAATAAGGTTCATTAGTTTTTTTCACAATAATTTTAAGTTGCCCATTGTTTTATGGAAGAAAGTTATTAATCACATTCTAATCTGCTTATTAATACCTATTTTTAATTATTTTAAAAAAAAATCCTATATTTTTTTTTGTTTTAAATCATTGTTTAAAGAATTGTATAATTAAAGGATTAAGCAACAATAATACAATATCGAATCCAAAGAGGCCCGGAAGACCCCGCAAAACGACTTTAAGCGATGATAAATATATAGCAAGGATCAGTAAACGCAATCGACGCCTTGTCGCCTCAGAGATGACTGCGGAGATTAATCTGACTAGGGAAAACCCGATAAGTGTCACAACTGTGAAAAGGCGCCTTAGGAGCTTTGAACTTTATGGTAGGGTAGCGGTCAAAAAACCACTCTTGAGCAAAAAAAAATAAACTCAAGCGATTAGACTGGGCACGAAAACATCAATTTTGGACATCTGCCAACTGGTACCACGTCTTATGGAGTGATGAGTCAAAATTCGAAATCTTCGGTTCTAAAAGAAGGCAATATATCCGTCGCTCAGCTGGAGAGCGAATGAGCGATCACTGCATAATTCCTACAGTCAAACTCGGGGATGGGTCTGTTTTGGTATGGGGATGCTTTGGTGCCGGAGTAACCACCGACATTGTCAAAATTAAAGGAATTCTTAACAAGGAGGGATACCAGAAAATCCTTGAGGACCATGTGATTTCATCAGGAAAGTGTTTGATCGGGAATAACTTTTTATTTCATAAGATAAAGACCCAAAGCATACATCCAGGCTATGCAAAGATTATTTACAAAATCTACAACAAGATATTCTCAAGTTGATGACTTGGCCATCCCAGTCTCCCGATCTCAACCCAATCAAACTTTTATGGGATCACCTTGATCGACAAGGGCGAAAAAGCCCACTAACCTCTCATTCGCACCTTTGGGAAGTATTGCAGAGAGAATGGAACAATATCACTTCCAAATATTTAAAAAATCTCATCGAAAGATTACCAAAAATTTTTGCAGCAATTATTAAGAATAAAGGTGGTCATATTGATGAGACCAAAATTTGATCTTAAATAAATGCTATGTCTTTTATTTTTTGTAATTTTATGCAATAATATGTAAACTTATAAATAAATTCGATAAACCTCATATTGTGTGTTATTTGTCTTATTTTAAGAAAAATGTTAAGAAAATGCAGGGTGGGCAATCATTTATGGCCGGTAGTGTATACAATATATTAGATAATTCCATGTATGTAATTTTTTAACAATATTTAAGATATAATCTTTTAGAGATTTTAAATAAGGCGATTAGAAAAGTTAACGAGTTTACGATCAAAGTTAGGTAAATCATTTACTTTTAGATGAGATAGAATAATATAAATTTTGGATATATATTTTACTTTTAACGTTATATTGGAATGATAGATCACGACACAAATCCCACTCATGCAGTCTTTTTAAAGCTACGCTCTGTAATATAGGAAATTCATATTCGAAGACTTGACACTGATAAATTTCCGTCAAATTAATACACATTCCCGTTATATATTTCCAAGTCGAATGACCCTATCCAATTATTTTTTTTTTCAATTAATAACTATTATATCGCCTCTATTAAAGTCTTTTTAATAATTAATAATAAAAACACTAAGGCCCAGTGGAGTATTTAACAAAACGGGTATTAGGGCACCTCCCCCCCTTCTCCCAGATTATTTATAACTGGGATTAAATAATGTTAAAAAGAATATGTTCAATTCAGAATAAAGAATAACTAAGCCGCATCATTTATGATAAATTTTTTGGAGGAAATAGCAAGTTAATAGAATCGCTCACCCATTATGGCACATTTACCGAGTAAATTAAATAATTTCCAAATCTAGAAAAACTCCTTGAAAATTTTGGAGGAAATAGCAAGTTAATAGAATCGCTCACCCATTATGGCACATTTACCGAGTAAATTAAATAATTTCCAAATCTAGAAAAACTCCTTGAAAATAATTTATAAAATAATTTTTTTTTTATTAGGATAAGTTTATGATTCAATAGATTTCATATTACATAATATAAGTATCTAAATAAATAACACAAAATATTGATGGTTTTATATTTTTTTAAAAAAATGCACTAAATAAGATTTGATATCGGCTATATTAACTTTGAATACATATTATTTTTTAAAGAATATATATGTGATGAATTAATCTTAAATTATATAAATTAAACTTATATTAATTGCGATATTTAGCGATTAAATTACATTATTAAGTACTATAATTAATTTTGTAAGATTTGTTGAACCCTATGATTTTACATTTATACGCGTACTCATAAAAAAAAAAATTGTATTTTAAAAAAAAAAAAATTTAAAGTTAAAATTACTTTTGAATAGTGGGGTATATCCAATTTCTTATGGAATGCATCAATATTTTAATTAACATTTTCAAAGTGTAATGTCCGATCCTATACTTAGAAGCAAAGCATTAAATATTATTAAATTTTATTTAAAAATAATTTATAAGAATGAAAATAACTTTTTATAATTAAAATCTTTTAAAAAATAAAAGGATCAAAACGGATCTCCACATCTGTTTTCTATTTCTCAGAAGAAAGTGAAATTATTTAAATTCGATGGTCTTTTTTTTTAAATAAACATTTAAAATAGGTATATATATGACTATAATTTATAAATGTTTGAAATTTGATTTATTTGGTGCCACATTAAACAATTAATAAATTGTTAAATAAAATCGATGATATTTTGAAATAAAATAAGGGCTCAGCATATAATAATAATATATCTTATCTACAAAAGTAAATCAATTAAAAGATTAAGATAAAAGATTCTTTTAAAAATTTAATAATAAATCTATCTCATTCATATCATATCTTCGTAAGAAGAATATCTCAATCGAAAGATTATATTAAAAGTATATAATATGTGTCAATGCCACTCCTATAAAACTGTTACAAAATAATATAATATAAGTTACTAAAATTTATTTCATAAGATAACATTGTTGCACGTGCAGGTAGGGGTTAAATCAAATTAAATAAAGGATGAATTAGCTATAATTAAAAAAATCCTAACCCTGCCACAGTTAGCACCGAAAAGTTAACAAAAATGAATGAAAAATTATTAATTTATATCATATTTTGTATGCTTCGCCGCGAATTCGCACTAACCATGAATGCATGATAACAAATCTTATACGGTAACCTCTTTTTAATATATAAAACTTTTAATACATTTGAATATCGGTTGGCACTTTGAAGTTAAAAATAGAAGAAAAAAAGAAGTATATAGAGAATAAGAACTTCGTTTATAAGTAAGCGCAAATACCGCTATGTCGCTCAAAGAGATTGCAAATGTTAAATTATATATCTATGCTAGGGTTTAGCAATGAATTAGGCAGCGCGAGCTATGTTGTGCTTATTATAATCGAGGAGATTTTTAAAAAAATTAATATATTTAAAAAGACTTATAAAAATTTGGTAATCCTAAATTAATAAGTTTGAAAATTCTATTTTATTAAAGTATTCCATCTAAATTTTAGTAAAATAAAATGATAAAAAGAAAAATTTGCATCATAATAGTGAGAAATTTATGGATTGTGACGTGAGTAGTGTTGGATATTTTATTTCCTAATTGTTATCGGGCGGTTCGTGGATTTTTTTTTAAAAATCATACCTTTTTTTCTCCATAAAATTCACAAAATGCATTTTTATTCAAAAAAGTGGTAAATTTGCGATTTTTTTTTGTAAAATTAAAGAAATATTTGTGATTTAATGATGACATTAATATTAGGTCAGAATAAGACATTGCCAGTTTATGAGAAATTATTCTCATTGATTATTAATATTTTTCTAATCTTATTTAATTAATATATGAATGAAAACAAAATAAAGCTATTGTGTAGAAAATGCAGAGAGGAACTTAAAAGGTATATAAATCAAAGACCTACAGAGGTACCATTTGCACGGTCAGGCCTGGATATACTATCTAAAATAAAATTTTTCCTTATATATTATATGTATAATATTGAGAGTGTATTAGTGTTATTTTATTGAATATAATATAAAATAATGATCAATTGAATAATTAATTTGAATAATATACTAGAAATATTTTCTAAGAATCGAAAAGTGATAAATGAATGAATGTGAAATATTGTTTCATGATACACAATTTTAAAATATATTTTATTTATTTTTAATTTTTATAGATAATAATGTCGATTTAAAATATTCGGTTCTAAATTCGGCTCAGCTCAACTATTATTTTTATTTTAAATTTAAGCCTGATCTGAGTATAATTTACAAATTAAAAATACGGCCTGGCCCATGCACCCGGGCTGAATTTAGGGTTGGGCCAGCAGATCTCTGTTATTAATAAATGCAAATTAATGTTTTAATATTTCTTAGCTGATATAATAGTTGGAAATAAGACTAAGATTATTCAAAAATTTTAATCTTTTAGTCGTAATTAGCGTAATGGAATTGATTTTAGGGCCCGGGCAGGGTCAAAATTTTGAAAACATTTTTAAAGCTGATGATTAGAGAAGTCTGCGTGATTTAAAAAAATAATTAAATTTTTTAATCTATATGAGTGGGAGGTTCGAGAATGAAAAATATTATATGCACACCTCTAACAAAGAGTAAAAATTTTCTTGAATTTTGATTTCTATGTAATTAATGAATCGCCAATCTAATAGTAGGTATACATCATTAATTATATTTTTGTGCATTGTCGCTTACGAAAAAGTAAATCAGCTGATCCCAAAAAATGATACTCGATAAGTTTGAAACGATACATTATAAGGTAAAATGGTATATAATATGATGAAGTTTTCATAAAAAAAAATAACTCTTCTAGTCTTTTTTTTAAAATTATTACATGGCGAAATAAAATATTTTCTAGGGGGTAGGATTTCCTGACTTTTCCTCTCTTAAATCTTATTGCAGGGTTTTAGTCCCGTTTTTAAAGGTCTATGACCGGATTACTTTTTTTCTTAAAAAATAATAATAGGATTTTATGCTATACCAGGGCCTTCTGAGCGTTTATTGTTAAAAGATAAAAAAAAAAGCGTTGCTTGTTTTAATTCGGAATAATTTCCATATTTTAAAGTGATAGTTGAATATATAATATATTTTATCAACCCTTCAGTGTAAAATATCTCTAATGAATAAAGGTGGGGCCAATTTTTAAATCTCTATATCTCAGAATATTATAAAGTGAGGTTCAAAATTTTATCTATCAAAATTGATGATATTAAATTTCTAAATTTTATGTGATTAGTAAAAAAAAAAAAAATTATATTATTTTATTCTAGATTTGATGAAAAATTCGGTATTTTGCCTTAAATCATTATTTTGTAACCATAATAATAATAAAGAGGCATTACCCTGCATTTACAGTTAAGGCTAATTCGTGGCGATAGGCATTTTAGCCAATATTTTCCCTTATCCCCGAAAGAAGCAGCAGCAACCAAAATTTCAATTGTATGAAAAACAATAAATCTCTCAACTCTCGTTCAACAATGGATTGGAAATAAATAAGTGTAATTTAAATATGTTTTATTTTCATTTATCTTTACTAAAAATTTTATTCCCGTCCCACAATAAATGAAGTTTATCTATGGAAACATTAGTAAAATTTTGTCAACCTTGAAGGTAATACAATAATAACCCTAAAAACAGGACAACATATCTTTTAAAGGAAAGATTTATTAAGCAGCTACACCATAAGGTAGATTTAATTTTGCTCCGAATTTCAAATGTCTTAAGTTTTTAATAAATGAAGAAAAGGAAGGTATATATATAAAACAACCTTAGAAATGTCAAATGATATAAAATTAGATGATATGCATAAGTCAATTCCAACTATAATTTTTCTAATTCATCCTATAGATATAAAAAACGTACATTCTAAATGAAACATTGAGAATTTCTAGATGATTCTGATGAAGCATCAACATCTAATAAAAGTTGTGAGGACAAACTTAAAAGATTCATCGCTCATAAAACAAATAACAATGACAATATTTTGAAGTTTTGGAAGAAGGAAAATTCTTGTGAAAATTAGGTTGTAAAATTTTGTCAGCCCTAGAAAGTTCGGCTTATAGTTAAAGGTTATTTTCTATAGCCAATCGCTTATTAGAAAGGCGAATTGAAATAAAAAAACATGGACATTCTTATTTTTTTAAATAAAAATTTTGATTTATAAATTGTAATTATTTTGTGTTATTAATATGGAATTAGAGAAATAAAAACTATTATAGAATAAATTAAACCGTAAAAGTATAGCAATAAGTTTTGGGAAATTTAAAAATGCCGTGAATTTACGGGATCAAATATTGTCTTTCGAGAGCGGGGAAATTTTTTTTAGTGGAAAGTGTAAAAGGGTGTAAACTTTTTTAATTGTTATCGTGAGCGGGCGGGCCGTGAATAAATAATTAATCCCGGGCCCGCCTCTAATCAGAACCATGATCACTGAATCTGATCGATAAAATGCCTTCCTTATTATTTGATTCAAAATTGAATTTATCTAAAAAAAATGTTATATATACAATAAATATCATACAAATGATTATTCATAACATTTAAAAATACATTCTGAACTTGATGCATAAATTTGTTAAAGAAAGTTTATTAAACCTGAATTTATGAATTTTTAACTCCAAATAAAATAAATCTAAATTTTTAACCTTGTTGTCAGTTAAAAATATCGATTTAATCTTTTTCATTAGGTTTCAACTAGTCATGCATAAATATTATAAACGTAATGATTTAAAAGCGTGGGGCATTTGTCTCAAGGTTCAACAAATTTATATCTTAAAAAACTTATCATTCAAATATAATAAAATTTGGTAAACACATATGATACTTTAAAAAAATATTCTACTGAAAAAAAAACTATATAACATTCGTTTTTGCTTAATAACAGTTTCAAAAACTCTTAATATATACCCCTTTTTTACTCTAAAGGATTTTTTTAATTTATCAAGAGTTAAAAAGTTATGATACATCTTTATGCTTACACTTTTTTTTCTGAAATCAAATTAATTTGGCCATTATTTTAAAAAATAGTTTCTTTAAATTCTATTAATTTTATTTATTATATCTTAAAGTGAAAATGATATTTACCATAACGTGTAAACGAGAGATGTGATTATCATAAAGGTGTTTATAATTATTTGATGCGTCGCGTCATTATAAAGAGATAGTGGCTCTTAAGGTTTCAGTAGTACCTCACCCTTCCTCTCCTCGCGCCTTCCCCATTTTTCTCCGAAAAAAATTCTTTATGACCCGATAGATTTCCATTTTACCCAGGAAGACAATGAGATATTTAATAATTAACATTATAAAGGATCATTGAAATAAGGCTTGAAATAGAATTTTCAATATATATATTTTTTTATCAGTATCATTTTAAATAAAATACAATATGAGTAAATATTGATTAAATTACTAATGGGGTCCATAGCCATGATGAAACGTTATGCGAGGACGCCTTATTTGTTGCCATTTTGTGGTAGCGATCCTTTTCCTTGTCCATCTTTTTAAAAACTGATAAAGGATTGGCCTGAGACACTAAAAATGCCCACGATTTTCGAAAAGTCGGCAAATGTCCACAGCTCTTAGATAAATTTGGCGACGGATATATGTTGATTCTATCTCCTTCTCCCCCATGCCTTGATCTTTTCCTGAAGCTTTCACATTTGTACTTCACCATTCTAAATTAAGTCGTTTACCGAAAAGCTTCATAGTCAGGGGATTGTGGGGAGTATCCTTTTCTAGCGACTAGACAACGATTGAGTTTAAAGGACGTCTTAAAATTGATTAAGAATGGTTTTGTAAAAATTAAAAACCGATAAAACTTTTAAATGAATTTATAGATTAGCGCATCTGTTACCCCACATTTTAAAGTTGTTTTTTATTATTAAAGTTCCATAATTGCGAATTACGATATCGCTTTCTTTCTATTTTGCAAGGGGAAAAAAAGAAGTTATAATTTGAAATGATTGATTAGAGCCAAATTCTATAAAAAAAACCTTAAATTTAAAGGTCCATAATATAAATATGAACTCACTGACTAGGCTACAAATGCTATACTTCGAAAACAACAAATTTTTATTTGTAAAAATAAGAATAAATTACGAAAGCTATCTAATATTTTAATAAAAATTCGATAACGTTTCAAACGCTATACATCATTCCACTTATAAAATTATTCTAATCCTAAATACTACTATATAAAAAAAATAAAATAATGCTAGACAATCAATACAATTTAAAATTATGAAAGAGTTTTTGAAATTACATCTGTTTTTTTTTCTCGTTACTAATTGGTTCCCGTAAATCTGCAATTTTTGTTTTTATTTCAAATAAATTATATTGCCCAATTATCTAAAAAAATATACATTATACAATACAAAATACAATATATTTTGATTTTTGTTTTGTATTTAACCAGTTTCTTCAAAAAAAAACAAGACATGGGATAAGAGTGGCATTTTTTTAAATATCCTAGAGTTGACGACAAGAGGACAAAAATATCGTCTAAAATAGTTTCTATTTGAGACAAAAGCATTTAATATTTTTTTGAGCTTTTATATAAAAAAGCTCTCTACTAATGAATTTTTCATATCTTATCTTTTGCCCGATAATATATTTTAATCACTCTGTTAATATACTCTTGGTTTTTTGGGGTGGTAAAAAGAAATCTGAAGTGGTATTGTGTCATACCACTTTACAAAAAGTAACTGAATTTATTATACGTAAATATTTTTTTGAGTAAACTAAATCATTGCAAAATTATCTCGGATTATATTATATTCTATTATTGACCATTTTATTGTCACTTATTTTGTTTATATACCTGATTTACCCATTTCTAGTACACATTTTATCATTAACCTATCATAACAAAATTGTCAGACCTTTATACTCATCTCATTCAAGAACATTATGGCTGAGCATAGGTTAAAATAAATCTTTATAAATGTATCTTATATTAATTGGACGCTGATGCTTCGCTATTTCTATATCTTTCCATTTATATTAGTTTCAATTGACTTGAAGAGTCCTAAAGATTTACTTGAAGAATAATATACTTAATTCAATTCAATATTTTTTTCTCATCCTTAAGTTTAATCTTAGTTAATCGCGATTTTATTAAAGAATTGTTTTTGTAAATTTTTAAACTTAATTCTATAAACTATAAGCTAAAAAAAGCAATGGTTTTATTTGGGTATATGAAATTTGAATGTATAGATTAGATATAAATAAGCGCAGGAAATAGGAAAAAAATATATATTATTTTTATAATTTTAAAATATGCAGATTTACTTGGATAAAAGGAATACTTTCTGTGTAGTGAACTATATCTTTAATTTAAATCAAATTCATTTTTTTAGATTTATCAACTTTAAATAATATATATACTTTTTAACAAAAATTTTCTAATAATTTGTAATTCAAAATATGATTTTAAAATATGTTTTTGTAATTATTGATTTTTGAATTCTTTCTTCAATCAATTTTGAGGTTACAATCGAATTTATAAATAGAATTCTAATAAATTTCAAAATTATATTTCTTGAAAGTTTTTATTTATAATAAATAATTTATAAATTAAATTGTAACATGTATTTCAAACAAATGTGTTACTATTTTATTTTCACATTGTTGTTTTTAAAATATTTATTGTTAACTTTCAATCAAATTTAAATTCTTTATTTATTAAAAAAGAAAATTGGAATTTATTAATAAGTAAATTAAATACTTATTTTATAATATAATTTATAACGTAAAAATTTACTATAGAGCGCAACAAATGGCAATATATTTTTATAGTTGATATTATTTTTGTATATTTTTTTTAACTATAATTTACCTTGATTTTATAATGATATATTATTGAGAATTTTATATTTATAATTTTTATTAATATGGGAGGCAAAGGCGTGAAATGTTAGCCTAATTTAATTTGAGTTCGCATCATTTTGAGTTAACGTTAAATAACATCAATGTCTTTTTTAGATTGCCTTTTTGGGCTTGCTTTAATATCATGTGCGAAGTCAAGGATTTTCTCTGGGGAATAATTTTTTTTAAGAAGGGGGGGGGGGGGTTAGAGGATTCAGGGCTCTGCTTTATTTCTCCTTAACAATTTTTATTAAATTTTGAATCAAATTTAGCATGTATAGAAGAGTTGTTAAAGACAAAATAAAATCAAGCCTTTCTGAATATAATATAAGGGGAGAGGGTTATTTATTATGTTTTTTGCTAATTGCCATCATCGACGTTAGACTTGATGGCTATAGATTCTGGTAAAATGGCAAATATGGAATTTAAACCATAAAACACAAATATTTTATTTTTATGAAATCAATAAAAAATATAAGTATTAATCTTATAAAAAATTACTCCTCTCTATATGACACATATACCTAGAAAATTGGGGCTATTCCTAGAGCAACTAGAATGTGTAAGGACGAGTTCTAATATTTTTGATATGTATGTAAATTAAATAAAAAATCTTTATAAAATACAATATACTGTTGTTTTATCTTCAAGCACTCCTGTAGAAATGCTTATTTAGTTTACCAAAACACTTTATTAATCAAAGACGTAGGTGTTTTATTGATATTAATTTAGAAGTTTTTTTAATATTAAGTGGCTAATTTAGACAATTATCAATAAATTTATCATTATTTATATCAACATTTTTAGGACCAAAAATTTTGATTGAAGCAGAAAAGCTTTATATAATGAGGATGTTATATTAAGCTCTAGATGCGAAAGAATTGTTGTAGCGTAGTAACGTTGAACCTTTGCAGGTTTCTATAGTTTGAAGTTTAATTCACAAATTGATCTTCCATTCTTTTATCAAGCTACAAAAAAATTGAATGGAAAAATTTTTAAAATATGGCCAAGCCAAAAATATAAAATATTGTTATTTTGGGCAAATTTCATAATAAACATGATAATTTTATGTGATTATGAGCCTAATATTATTCTCAATAAAAAAGATGGGTGTGACAAAATACCTTGAAGGGTAAAGCTATGTCTTGATATGAGTTTCAGATTAAAATCAAATTTATGAAGATATAACTCGATTTAAAAATTATAAAATTTTAATTATTTTGCTAAAAACAAGGAAAAAATAAAAAATATATATAAAGATCGTAAAATCGTGGGAAGCGAGATTTTTTTAATCTAGGAAAGAGACATCTTGATATATTTAGATGTCATTTATTTTTGCGCAATTCAAAATCCTATATTAAAATTCTAAAGTATCATTTTATAAATGTATAGAGATTTTAAAAAAAGATGTTCATGAGCAGCATAATTCTTAAACAAAAATGTGTTTATATATTTGTAAGAATATATCTGTATCTAGATCTAATTTTAGACTATGTATCAATATCTAAATACGTTTGAAAAGAATCTCTTAACAACTCTGATAAATAGTAAATGGGCTTCAATTGGGAATCTCAAAGTGATAGATCTTAAATTTTTCCTTAGGGTTTCCATTTTTTATTTTTTAAATGATTAAATTCAAATGGATATTGAGAAATACTTTTTTAAAATTTTTTAAGGATCTTTGAAGGCGAATAATGATGTTTATAATATGAATGAAAATAAATTATCAGAGAGGTTAGCGAATTTAGTGCATTTATCAATTTTTTGAAAAATATATTAGGTTTGTTTTAACAAGAGAAGAAATTATATTCATGCAGGGAAAATTCTTATGCGATTCAAAAATGTCTACTTTTAAATTGTTTGAGTCCTCAGTTAAGGCGAGTTCTTTGACTATAATAATATCATTATAATCACTAATAGAAGCAGCCTTGATTTTTTTTATCTGGCTTAATGCATGCTTACATTTTAAATCAATTGATATTAAAATCCAACACACTAGTTCTAAACTATCAATTTAAAGTCAACTCTATTATTTAACATCAAATTCTTTATCGCTCAATAACAAGTTCATCTTACTATCAGCAAGAATATCATGCAGTTAGCAAATTTTGGACTATTATTGATGCAATCAAGCTAAATGTATGTATGTTAGCGTCATTGTGTTGTTTCGGCAATGTGTTATTTTTTTAACTATGAATCAATTTTTGAGCACGTTTTCTTTAATTTAAAAATCTGATTTTGTGGAAATTCATTCCATGTTTGATATACTTATCTTATGAATTGTAGGCAATTTTGCTGCTAACCTGAGTCAGGGATTTGAACCGAACCCGGAGAAGAAAAAACTGAACCCTGAGAAGAAAACCCGGGGTTTTGAAAAAAAAATCTGAACCCGAATCGAACCTGAACACCGTTTATAAAATTTTCAAAACCTCGAACAGAACTCGGGAATTTTATTTGAACCTTGGTTCAAACGGGTTCATGTTTAAAATCATATATTAAGATATTTGCATAATTGTAAATGCAAATATTAATAATTTACTTGACATTTTATAATATTTTCAAATTTCCTTAAGTGAAGTGTTAATAAATTTTAAACAACTTAATTCATTTACTCCATTTTTAAATTTTTTTAAATTTATTCTCAAAGATTCCTATTGGATTGTTAATAAATTTTAAACAATTAAATTCATTTAGGCCATTTATTTTTAATTTTTAACTTATTCTCAAAGTTAATTTGAGGAAAATGAAAGTGAACAAGTCAAAGTAAAAATTATAATATTGGATATTTAAAGAATTTTCAAAATCTAAATTAAAAATTGTTAAACAAAGATGTAGAGCAGTTTTTGTAAACTTTTGTATTTTTAACTATATTTTGCCTATAAATAAAATAAAAAATGTATTTTTTATACCAAATTTATGTCTAGTTTTATAATTATGATTTAAATATAATTTTTTTTTATCAATTCAAAAATTCTTAAACCCGAGCTCAACCTGGAACCAAACCCAGGTAATATTTTCCTGACTGAACCCGAATCGAACCCACCTATTTATTTTTTTACTTTAACCCGAACCTGAACCGAACCCGGGCTAAAATTTTGCCGGGTTCGCATCCCTGCTTTGAGTCATTTATAATTTATATAAAAATATATGGAAATTTAATATAAATTAAGGTAAAAGTTCATGGAAAGATTGTCTGAAATTTATGGGGTAGGTATTCCAAACATGACGGCAATATAAGATATTAAATTTTTAAAAATAACATATTGCCGGGAAAAACACATTGACGTTAACATATACATTTTAAATTAATCGATATTGACATCCAGCACACTAGCCCTAAACATTTAATTTACAGTCTACTTTATTATTTAACATTAAATTCTCCATCACGTAATAACAAGACCATCCCAATAGCAAGAATATCGAGCAGTTCTTTGGATTAATATATGCTTTAGTAATTCTAGGTCTGAAATATTAACGATCAGTCTAAATGCATCCAAACATTTTAAATCAATTGATATTAACATCCAACACACTAACCCTAAACAGACAATTTGCAGTCCACTCTATTATTTAAAGTTAATTTATCACACAATAACAATTCCATCTTAAAGAATATCGAGTAGGCAGACATTTTGTTATTATTATGCTTATTTAACTAATTCTAGGTCTGAAATATTAGCCATCAGGCTAAATGCATGCATACATTTTTAATCAATCGTATTAACATCCAACTCATAACCCTAAACAGTCATTTGCAGTCCACTCTATTATTTAACATTAAATTCCTTATCACTCAATAATAAGCCCATCTTACTATTAATAAGAATATCTGCAGGTAGATATTTTTATGATTATTATATGCCTAAGTAATTCTAGGTCCAGTAGCGCAGCCAGGAGTTATCCATGGTGGTGGTGGTGGGGAGTTTAAAAATTTTCGAAAAAAAGCTGTCTCTTCTTGGGTGGTGTGAAAAAGTCACAAACCGACTATATTGTTTCTAAATTTTGAAAAATATATTAGAATTATAAAAAGATATCTATAATACATAATAAAATCTAATAAATTCCAGTTAAATTAAAATATACGTAAACTGTTCCGGATGTCTCGAATTCCGCATGCCTCAGATATCATCAAATTTAGGCAATGTGTACTACAGTGAACATATAGAGCTGTGCTATAAAGTTCTCTAATTCTTGACTGCACCCCTTTAACGTGACCACTCATCGAGTGAGCTCCATCATATCTTTGGCCTCTCATTAGATTTAAATTTAAATCTAAGTCTTGAAGGGATGCTAAAATTTCTTTGGCTATCGTCTCTGATTTAGTGTCATGTAAGTCAATAAATTGAACAAAGAGTTCCTTTTTGAAATCACCTGATTCCATATCAATAAACCTTACTGCTATGGATAATTGCTCTATGTTACCAACATCCGAAGTCACATCCGCCAAAACACTAAAAAATGGTAATGCTTTCACTTTTGTAGAAATTTCTTTCAATATGAATCTATTGCATATGGCTAATATTTCATTTTTAATACTTGGACTATGGTAGGTGACATTTTTAGCAGAGCTTTCAAAAAGATTTATATAGTTATCATTATTATTGCATAAAAGTTTCAACAATTCCTTAAAATTCCCTTCATTATGAGAAGAGTATGTCAATGTTAAGGGGCCAGCAGATATTCTATGAGCTTTTATTACTAGACCCTGCCTTCCTAGCCAAATGATTGCATCAATTATTATAATTATTCTGGCTCTGTTGGTTGTAACAATAGCAAATATTTTTTTATTCAATACATTAGATATTGATATCTTTTGATTCATAGAGATGGCTTTTAAAGCATCCGATACCTCACAATAATTGAAATCATATTTATTTTGTTGATGATAATTAAAATTTTCAAGAGCATCTTTCCATCTTGTATATACTTGACTTACCAATGTTCTGAGTTTTTGTAACCCGTTTCCAACATATCTTGGTGAAAAAATGACTCACACTTTACAAAAAGCTCTCTATTCATTAGCTGAGTAAGCAAGCCACTTATATTTGTTCAGCCACGATGCTTGAAATGTTAAATTTCTTTTATCCAAGGATAATGGAAATTTATAGAATTTGTTAGGTGTCCAAATATTTTCAATAGCTCAATTTTTAAATATCATTTTTAAAATGAAATTTTAAGTATAATGAAACATCTTTTAGAGGACAATGTTTTTCTATACATTTTTTAGATTTTAAATTATATAATATGAATTTTAGAGTTCAGACCTGAGCAGCATAACAAGAAAAGAAAATAGTTTATAAAAATGTATCTTAGATAAAGATTCACGTTTATTATTAAAATTTTAAAGGACAGGGTACAAGACATAGAAGGAAATTACTTATTTGTATCTAAGATACAAGTTTTCACAATACTGCTCAACTCTGCTTGTGATTATAATGTTGTACTATCTAAAGATTATTTGGGAAATAACACTAATCAAGACGATGGGCTTTATCATATAAAAAAGGGTTATAACTAAATAAGGCACATTGCAAAATTTAAATAACTCAAAATGAAAATAATATAATTTATAAATATAAAAATGTAACTTAATTATTATAAAATACCATACCATAATTTGATGATTATTCTACCAAATCAACTCACATGCTTTTATAACATATAATGTTTCTAATTATAAAATATTATGAGAAATTATAAATAATTTAGAATATAACATCATCTTTTGATGAATTTATAGCTAACTCATTTGTTTTCCCAGGGTATAGTATTACTTTTATTTCTTATTGCAAGATTTAAATAAAAGATATTATAAGTGAATACCATTACTATCGTAATTTAAGGATTTTTATAACCAAATCAACTGATGGCTGATTTTCACTAGCAACATTCGTATATATTTCTAATTCAAATTACATAAATTTTATAAATAAATTAAAATATACCTTGATTACGATGTGAAAATTTTTTATATATATCCATGCTGTAGTTAAACGATTTTTCTTTTATTTAAAATTAATTATAAAAAATAAACTAAAATTTTAAAAACTATCTAATTAGTTTAACACAGTGGCGTAACTACGGGGGTGGTTTTCGGGTTCGGACCCCTCCCAGAGCAAATTTTTTTTAGATTATTCGTTCAAAAGACTTAAAAGTGACTTTATATCAAATAAATACCATTAATATTTATATTTTTCTGGTTTTGATGATTGTGGAAGGATATTATATTACTATTGAAATTATTTTGGATAGTATTATTATAAAGTCATTGAGAATAATCTATTAAATTATAATAAAATATTATTGATGCATTTAAAAAATATATTTATTATATATTATCGAAGATATGGTTATGATTTTTATGATAAACCCGGCCGAAGGCCGGGCAAAATGGCCGAAGTCCCGTTAAATGGGGTCTGGGGGGCGAGGTCCCCCAGGTTTCTATATGTATGGACCCCCTCTAAGGAAAATTCCTAGCTACGCCACTGGTTTAACAGTATAAATTTTATTATTAAATTTATAAATATCTAATTTAACTATGCCAGAACTTTATTGTTATTTAATATTTTAGTTCATATATAATTTATATATTTTTATACCATAGGATCATTTAAAATTGAAAATTCTTTTTGTATTTTTAAAATATATTTCATTTTGATATCGTATATATTATTTTATTTCTAAATTGAAACCTTTTTTTAAATTAAATTATTCACAATAGAAAAAAAATTTATTTTTCAGAGGTTATGGGGGGTTTAACCTAAGCCACTTCTAGGTCTGAAATATTAGCGATCAAGCTAAATATATACATACTTTTAAATCAATTGATATTAACATTCAGCACATTAGTTTAAAGAATCAATTTGTAGTCCATTTTTTATTACATTAAATTCTCTATCACAATAACACGTCTTACTAAGCAAGAATATCGTATAGTTAGACATTTTGCGATTATTATATGCTTAAGTAATTATAGGTCTGAAATATTAGTGGATGAGACAAGCACAGCTTAGTCCGAAGCATTAGCATAAAATCTTTGGGCAAACACTTTTCAAAAATTGTTAATCTGAATAATATGGAAATAGAAAATGTCTAACAACTTTTCGATTTTAAATTATTTGGTAGCAGAAAAATTAGTAACCTAATTAATAAATTAATGCAATGAATTGTGATGGTTAACAAAAACTTTAATATTAATAATATGCTTTGCATCATTCTTTTAGTTTCATCATTAAAATAACTATAGAAAGAGTCTTATAATAAAGAATGGTATCCTAAAATTGCTAACTGATAAAAAAAAATTCATGTTGTATACTTATATTCGGTTCCACTATCTTTTTCTTGACTAAATTAATAATGAAAATAAATTCGATAGAAGATATTATTAATTAAGACTAATTTTATTATGGATACGAAAATTAGGTTTTTAATTTTTACGATATTGTTTAATAAAATTAATTAGTGTATAATCTATTTAAAAATTTATCCAGTTATTTCGTGTTATAACTGTAACTAAGAATAAAATATTTCGCCAAAGTAAAGTGATAAAAAGGAAAATATTATGAATTTTAATTGTATTTATTGAATTTCAATTGAACAATTAGTGTTCAAATTTCATTTATTGTTTAATAATTAAAAGTTTCGTTCCAACTGATTATGGTAATCATATTTTGGTTGTTGAGGCTGAGACCAGATAGTTCTAATGTGAAAAAAATATTCGTATCAGCATATCTACTAACAATCAAATTGATAGCATAGTTGAAAAGAGGAAATGAGGAGAGTGGTAGCTTAGGTTGCCGATATGAATGTTACAAAAAAGTGAGGTGCTATAATTTGGCAGTCCAATTGAAGACCACTAGCGATTCCAACTTCTTTGTAGTTTGTAATCTGAGATTAGAGCGAGGTATGGCTTGAATCCTTTATACTCTAGTTGGGGTATATACGAATTCTCGTCTGTATTATTTGTTATTTGAAACTTTCATAATTTTGGCGTACCGGATAAGGTGCAGTCACTTTTATCTTGATATATATATTTTTAGATCACAATTATATTTAATTTTGCCTATGACATGTCGCATGCCTTGACAAAATAATACAGGGCCGAATGGCTTGCCCTGTTGTATGCCTTTAACTTTTAAGCGTATGGAATCCATTTTTAAAGTTAATTTAATCAAATGTCCCGGGTTTAGTGGAGGTTGTAACAAGTTGCATAACAAAATAATCTAATAGTGAGTCAAAATGATTTGGAAAATTATAAATAAATAGGATGTATATTAAACTTGATTTAAATTATATAAGGAGTTTTAAAAATAATGATATAAATGATTTTATTATATAACAAATTTTTGAGATCATCTATATCAGATACAATATTTAAAGAGTTCCCTCTTTTAAAATCACTATTCATAAAATACAATACCTCTATCATATCCAGTTCTACACTTGAGGGATTATTTAGTCCAACAAATTATATTTTTAGTGAAATAGATAGACTTCGAGAGATATTTTCTCTAAAAAATATAATATTTTATTACGGAAATCTTTAATTATATGTCATCATAGATTATTTCCTTTGCGATTTAAAAAAAATATATATATAATTAGAGCTGCAATATAGCTCTTACTTCCGGAAAAAAATTGTAGGCATAATTTAAAGTAGCCATTAAAATAGTTGCATTATGTTTAAATTAGCTATAGTGTTAGCACGCTATTTTTTGAGAAAGTATTTAATCATTAACGAAGCTATTTTTTTGGAAAGAAGTTGTAGCTACGGGCTACTTTTTCTAAAGTCACATTTGCAACATTGTTATTTTATATATTTTCATCAATAATATTATAGGAAAAAAAATTAAAAATACAAAAAAAGTATAATTTTAACACAGCGAGTATTTAAATAAATGAGATCTATTGTTAAAAAATATGATACTAAAAAAACTGATAACTTAAATCAATTCCTGGTGTATACAGAAAAAACACATTGCAACTTGAATTGCTAGTTGTATTTAATTCATAATTTGGAAAATAACATAAATGATATTTAAACAAATAAAATTATGTATACCACATACCATTAAATAAACAGAGCCATAATTAGAAAATTATACTAAAGAGTACCTTGAAGAAGCAGATATTTTCTTTTCGAAAATCTTCATATTTACTTAGTGTTAATTCTATATATTTCTTTTTTGCATAAATAGCTTTATTTTATCTTTAGTTAATAAGAATTATTAATATTTTTTTATTTTTTCTAAAAAATAACTGAAATATATAATTAATATGTCAATGTTGATTAATTTTATAAAAATGAATGTTTAAAAAGGAGGAAAAAAATCCTATAAGAAGCAAATTAATATAATTATTTATCTTAAGGGAGGGGGAATGCTCAAGAAATTAAAAGATATCTAAAGAGAACTTTAAACAGATATAAATCTCCTTAAAATCTACGATAGCGAGCCTAAAAATTAAAACAAATACTAAATGGGCCGAGTGTGAAAAATTTTAAAATCGGGTCAAGTCGAGTTTAGACTTAAAATATTTTTTAAAAAATAAATAAATAATAATGTTTTCTCTAATAATAAATAAATAAATGAAAATAAGGAATCGGAATTTTAAAAATAAATTGGATCGAGTCCTGGTAAATTTAATTCTAATTTGCCGAATATTAGTTCGGTGTCTGCAAGATATAATTTGGTTATTTGTTATTTGGAAAGCTCGTCTAGAAATTTCCTTAGGTGTCAGTGACCAAGTTTCAATTAGCATAATTTGCATAGAAATAGATGCATGCAAAATCTCTCAGGATAGGCTAAGAAAAGGCGGTTAGGC